ATTCATTTTCTGTTTACCACCGATCAACGCGGTTTCGAAGTGGCCAAATGGCCCTTAAGATTAAGTACGGGGAAGTGGTAGAGGATAAGAATGTGAAGGCTGCTTCTTAGATTGTAGCGGCTAGCAAGAAGAGGCCCACTCGGCCCACCCTTTCCACCTCCCGTCCTGAACCCCCTCTTTGCCCTCGAGGCCAAGGGGAGCGCCTTTGGAACACATGGCGTAGGGACGGCGACGGCCGTTGTTTCTATTGCCGTGAACTCGGGCATGGGATGGCTAATTGCCCCCAAAGGGGCCAAGGGGCCAATCGGCCGGCTAAGATTGTGTAAAGAAAAAAACACACATTTTAGCATTCAAGCAAGATTAATGCGCACGTCATACGGCCACATGGTTCTGCCAGTTGGGCCCATGCAAGAAGACAGGAACGTACCCACAAGACGCATACACAATGTGTGTGTATTCTTTAAATACTGACGTTGATAAGACTCATGACAAGATTTCCATGGCATCACCATATATGACCATCAACTACAGCCCAGCATGTCAAGTTGACATGCCCAACCCACTGGTATATCACTTAAGGGATGACGTGGGCGAAAAATAGTGAGCGAGCGGGCACCTATACTTAGCGTTTGCCTTCCTCCCCGAAAAAAAAAAAAAAAAAAAAAAAAAAAAACAACAACAACAACAATTCACTTGTTGAGCTCAGAACTAAACGAGGTGAAGCATCTTTCTGATTCTCTACCGTCCCTATTTGTGTTCCCTCTCCCACCAGAGCTCGGAACCAGTTCGGCCTATGCCGATGACACAACCAAGATAACCCGCATGCAAGGCCGCCTCCGTGACAGTGCTGCATGGTGGTCCGCCTGGTGCGACAACCGCTTGATTCTATCTGTGATTACATCAAGCTATCGCCTACCATGGGTTGCCTCTGAGCCCCCTCTGTCAAGAATAATGCCAGTGCCCTGCAATTCACCTCTTTCGCAGTAGGTGCAGTGGCCGAGCTTCTCGCCACCGGCGCAGCTCGGGTCGTATCTCCTTCCGCAACCCTTACATGCGTTAGCCCATTAAACGTGATTGTCCAACCCTCTAAAAAGAGGCTGATATTGGACTTGTAGCATGTAAACTCATTCCTCTCGGTACCTCGTTTTCGACACGAAGGACTTACTCGCGTTACTGATTTGGTGTAAGAAGGTGATTGGCTATTCACGATCGATCTCAAATCCGGATACCACCACGTCGACATTCACCCCGCCTTTTGGCGGTTTCTCGGATTCTCTCTGCAAGGGCAGGACTACGAATTCCTCTCCTTGCCTTTTGAGCTGGCTATAGTGCCATTTGTGTTTACCCAGTTAATTAAGCAAATCTCCAAACGATGGGGTAGCCGTGGCATCCGCCTTATTCCATACGTCGATGATATCCTATTCATCAGTGCCACTCGAACGGAGGCACTTCACAACTGCTCCATAATCATCGCCGACCTCGCAGCCGCGGGCTTTGTTGTGAATTTCAAAAACTCAAAACTCGCGCCGGCACAATCTTTGAAGTTCTTGGGCCTCTTGCTGGACACACGCACCACCACATTCTCTGTCGATGCGGATCGGCGCAACCGGCTTTTTGCCGAGCTGGATGACTTATGCACACTTGGCGCTAACGGGCGTCGCATCCCTGTTCGCCGCGCTGCCCGCATCACCGGCACGTTGGCCTCCATGTCCTTGGCACTTAGCATTGTCGCACACGCCTTCTCCCACCACCTTCTCCTGCAGATCGCTGAATGCCACTCATGGGGGGCGGTCATTCTCCTAACCCTTGAGTCTGTTGAAGAGCTGCGTTTTTTGCTTACACCGTTCGACGTTTTCAACAGCGCCCACTTCCACAACCCGCATTTGTACGACGTTGTCATGTACGTGGATGCTAGCGACCATGCCTGGGGGGCTTGTTATTCGGCGCCGGATGGTCGTGTCGGCTCGCTCTCCTCCCCGCTGCCTCTAGCCCTCTTGGGCTCGTCCAGTTTCCTTCGCGAGCTGGCCAGAATCTTTTGGTCCCTTTCGGCATTTTCTGTCAAAATCCGGCGTTCGCACGTCTTGCTCCGCAGTAACAGTCAGGCAGCCTACTACATCCTCCAGAAAGGAGGCTCTCGCAGTCCCGAGCTTACCTTCGTATGCCGCGCGACTATTCAATTGTGCGTGCCCCATATGATCTGTCTTACGGTCCAATGGATTCCTCGCGAGCTGAATACCGAGGTCGATGCTTTGTCCAAGATTGAGCTCCACGACGACTACTCCTTGACACGACCTTGGTTCCTGCTGCTTGAGAGGCATTGGGGGCCTCATACAATCGACTTGTTTGCATCCCCTGCCAAAGCGCAGCTCGCTCGTTTTTGCTCCCTCGGGTTCTCACACTCTGCGGTTGTGTAAGACGCCTTTTCTATTCACTGGGGACACGAGAATTGCTTCGCCTTTCCCCCACCCGCCCTTATCCTGGCTGTCCTCGCTCATGCCCGTCTTTCGCACACTTCTCTTACTCTCGTAATCGCATATTGGCCCAGTGCTTTTTGGTGGCCTTTGCTAAGCCTGGACGGCTGCACTTGGGGCCTGGAGGTCGTTATGGCCCTTCGCCTTGTCCTTGGTGCTAGTTGTTTGTGTGTTGGTAGTGACCGTTATGCCTTTAGCGGTGCCGTTCTTCCGAACTCTCCGATGTATGCGCTTTGTTTTGCATTCAACTAATGTATAATTTTATTTCACCACGTAGGCTCATATATTGGTCGATTATTGTCGGACCTTCTCACACTCACTGTCGATCTTCGGGCAAAGTCTACCCTTCGCACTTACGAACCCTATTGGTGACAGTTTTGAGCCTTCTGCTTCGCGCACTCATTTCGCTTCCTTCCCGCCACCGACCTGACAGCGGCCCTCTTTCTGCTGCACTCGGTCTGTCGCGGCGCTACCGTCTCAGCTGCGCGCACTGCGTGTTCCGCCATATCCTGCGCCCATGGGTTGGTCGGCCACCCCTCTCCGATTCGCGGCTCCTTTTCTTCGTAAGTCAAGGATTATGCCATGCGTCATTGTGGCAAGCTGTCTCAAGCCAAGGAGCCCATTCCTGTAGCCAAGATTTACGATATCGGTGACATCTACTTCTCATTGCATGATCCGGCCACATTCCAGCGGGGCCTTATTCCCCTCCTCATGTTCGCAACCTTCCTTCGTTTCTCTGATCTCACCTCCCTCCAGTGGCACCAGATCGAGTTCGATCGGGACTGCATGTAGTTGTTCATCCCCCGTTCGAAGACCGATCAAGCTGGCACCGGTGTTTGGGTTCCAGTGGCTGCTTCTTTTGCCCGCCACTGTCCGGTGTCGCGTGTCCAACAGTTCCTCTTCCTGGTTGGCTATTCTCCGCGGACCCTTGGCCCCCTTATTCGCATATTTCAGCCAGGTGCCCGAGCTTCCCCCTCAGATCGCCCTCCCTCGTACGCCACCATTCGGGGTTGGTGTCGTGATGCTTTCTCCCGTGTCGGCCTCAACCCAGCCCTCCTGGGCACCCATTCTTTCCGCAAGGCGACTGCGACGGTCGACGTTGATGTTGGATTCACCGACCGGCTTTTCAAGGCCCTCGGCCGCTGGCAAAGTGATACAGCCAAGGAGCTTTACATTACTCAGCTTGACCGCGAGCTAGTGGCTGCTTCTCGCACGCTCCAAGTTCCTACTCGCTCGAGCGCGACCGATCGGTACCAGGCCACCCTCGAGCGCCACCGCCGACGACCTCCCACTTGATGTCTCGTTTGAGCTATGACGACTGCACTGCACACTCCTCTGAGGTCGTGTCACAATATGAGATTTTTTTGTAATAGAAAAATTACAGATTGTGATTCGACTAGAAGAGGAGTTTGCTGTAAAGGAGACAAACTCCTTTATCTATCGGCAGGTCTTTCAGACCTGCCACCTAGTCTCATTTGCATTTTTCTGTTCCAACTTGCCCACCCTTCCCTCCCTCGCTTCGATGGCTAGCATGGCCTGCTCACTTTTATTCCCTTGCCATGTATTTGCCCTATCTAGTGTGCTGTATTATGGAGCTATGATATGCTATGACGACTGCACTGCACACTCCTCTGAGGTCGTGTCACAATCGCACACTCTGACAGGGTCATTTCCTTGCCTCTGAAAATCGTGGGAGATTGATCCAGCAGCAGTGCCAGGTGTCGTTGACCAATCTCGTATGAGTACTGTGAACGGGGCTAGTTTCGTGCTTCAGAAAGTAGTCGAGATATTCTCGACCAGGGCTTATGTTTGGTTTTGGAACAGCTCTGACGCTCAGAGCTCCCTTCAAATTTCACCCTGAAAACCCAGGGTCTGAAGCTTTACTGCTCTGTTTTTTCAGGGCCAGCCGAAAAAATGCTCGACAAGCGCACATTTCCACGGATTTTACTTGAGGTTGTTCCAAGCTCTGCGTCACATTGGAGTCCCGTGTGTTCTAGGGGTATGAGGGGAGTACTCATTCCCAACAAGTAGCCTGGTAGACAGGTCCTAGAAGAGTGACGGGTGTTAGGAGTGTGCGAGATAAGGGGTGAGGGGAGGGAGGGGCGCCGGGGGAGGGAGGGTGCAGGTAGTGGAAAAATCAGGGTTACCTGAAAATCTTCTCGGAGTTTCCAGGGTCGCCTGACGATCTCCCCGGATTTTGTCAGGGCTGGGTAAAAAACAACCCGGAGAAAATCAGGGTTGGTCTAAAAACTACCTTAGAATTTCAGTCAGGGCAAATGCCCTGATAACATAAGCCCTGTTCTCGACCATTGCTGCTGACGTGATCGAGGTGGTTCAACTGCAAGATGGACGGTCAAGATCCTCTCGACACTTGCTGTCTTTCGATTTCGTTTTGCAACTTGTATTGATTCGTCTGCCCGTCTTTGCGCTGCGAATGGCACCTGACGCGATTTTCATCATGCTCGCTTTTTGCAGCTGAGCGGACCTTGGTAATGAAGGACGAAATACTGTTTGAAGGCAAGAAAAACGAGCAGGGTGTTATGTAAAATGCAAACCCAGAAAAGCGGGTACTCTAAAAAATGTGCCATATCATATGCTATCCCCCGCATATGCCACCCATGGGCTGACTATTTCGGCGGATCTTATACACGGGGGATTACGGTAACGACTATTCGGCCTCGATAATGGGAGTGCCCTCCTTTAGAAGGTGGGAGAATGTAAGGAATTACGATTCCTTACTGGAGCTCGCCGCAATGAGTACACGCGAATGTCTTGGGTCCGCACGCTCGGCCCTTGGTTCTCGCACCAAACCAGCCCCCGTCGACCTTTTCGGCCCCAACCTGATCCCGAGTCGCCCCGAACCCATTTTGACCCCGTCACCGTCGGGACTATCGAGCCCTAAACTGGTCCAACCCTCGACATTCAACCCTGGTCAACACACCTAGCCTAGGCCTCATTATTCTAGAACATTGTAATCACGTCCCCCTATAGTATTCTGTGCTATACTCTAAGTTATAATTCATAACAGTTTTGTACTCCAAGGAACAATAGTTATTGCTCAAACATAAGAAGAAATTATCAATCCAAACCTTCAAATCTCCTTGGACTCATGAAGCACCTGCACGAAGGAAGCAAGGGTGAATATGAAGATTGCATCGGATCAATGCATGCTTACAACACGTTATGAAACACTCAAGGCCTCACAATGAAAGGTGGCGTCTTTCACTCCCATAATGCCTCACCTGGCTGTGGGGCAGGCAGTGCCCCCGCTGCTCTTAGTGAGTTCGATCCTCGCTATAGAGCGAATCGCTGTGCTGCCAATGTCAAAGGCCAGCATGGGCTTCCCACTGATGCACATCGACCGCGTATATGCTATCGATGGGTTGACTGGCGTGCCAGGGCAAGGACTGGTAGGGTCGACACATGGAAGGAAACAGGGGCCGGGGGGCAGGGGGACAGGGGGACAGGGGGGGGGGGGGGGGTGGGGGGGGGAGGGGGGTGACAGGGGGACAGGGGGGAGGGGGACAGGGGGGAGGGGGACAGGGGGACAGGGGGAAGGGGGACAGGGGGACAGGGGGGAGGGGACAGGGGGACAGGGGGGAGGGGAACAGGGGTACAGGGGGACAGGGGTGAGGGGGACAGGGGTGAGGGGGACAGGGGTACAGGGGGACAGGGGTACAGGGGGAGAGGGGTGAGGGGGACAGGGGTACAGGGGGACAGGGGTACAGGGGGACAGGGGTACAGGGGGAGAGGGGTGAGGGGGACAGGGGTACAGGGGGACAGGGGTACAGGGGGACAGGGGTGAGGGGACGGATATATGGAGCATGGACATTGGTGGATGCAGGGTACAGTGATAAGTTATCCACTGGTTGACCAGGGTGCCAGGGCATGGACTGTTAGGGTTGAAGGCACTCGGACGGAAGCCGCCTCACAACCCCCCACGTCCACAACAACAGCCGCAGTGCAGCAAGCAGCAGGCAGCAGGCAGCAGGCAGCAAGCAGCAAGCAACAAGCAGCAGGCAGATGAAAGGGAGAGAACCAGACACTTACGCTTCGGGGTTGTTAGACACCACGCGCCATTGCATGTCCTGGGACTTGGGTGGAGTGTCCATGATGACCGTGAGCCCTCCCTCACACCCCCCCACGTCCAACATCTGCAGCTGCACCGCAGTCGGGTAGAAGAACCCCGGGCCTACTTCTGACGGCTGGATCGACACTCGGTACGAAAACCCAGCCAATAGCGTCGCAGTAACCTGCCGCAGAAGCTGCCGCTCCCCGCCGTACCGCCGCGAGAAATCGTCATCGTAATCATTGTCTGACCCCACTGAGGTAAACGTTGCGTTATCCTGTAACCGCGTGAATGTAACATAACTGTATGGCCGCCGCTGGTCTTTACTTAGATTCGCTGTCTGATCCTTGGTGACTGATTCGTTGTAGAAGAGAGCGAAGGATCGGAAGCAGGCGGCGGGTCCGGTGCAGGAGTGGACGGACCAGGCGGGCTGGTAGGAGCAGGCGAAGGAGGAGGTGGTGCGGAGGGAGGGAGGCGGGAGAACGGGGTCGAAAGGGGCCACTGCGAAGCCGAATCCGTTTGCTGTGGAAGCGGTTTTAGCAGTGCTGCTGCTGCTGGTGGTGGTGGTGGTGCTGCTTCCCAGCAACGACCCGTCAAGATCCCAGAGAGCGTAGAAGTTAGCAAGTTGAGCACCAGAACGGATGTAGCCAGTGGCCTGCAGTTAATGAGGAGGGGGAAGGAGAAGGATGGAGAGGACGAGGAGGAAACGCCACGGGGGGAGGCTTAGATTCAAGTAAAACACAGAGGCCATAGTATAGTAGTGGGCCGAGTTGGGCGAGTTGGTTGAGTTGGGGAGTTGGGCGAGTTGGGCACCCGAACGGATGTAGCCAGAGGTCTGGAGTGAGGGAGAGGGGGAAGGAGAAGGATGGAAGGGACAAGGGGGGGGGCAGACAAGGCAAGGGGGGAGACTTAGATTCATGTTGAGCTCAGAGAGCATAGAAGTTCGCGAGCTGGGCGCCAGAGCGAATGTTGGCAGAGGTCTGGATTGAAACAGAGGGGGGGCCATGCATGGGGGGGGTATAGGGAGGAATGACCCATCAGGATCTGCCCTGTGCTTCCCAGCATTGACCCATCCGGGTCCCAAAGATAGGGGTGCCTTCCACAAAGGGGGGCAGAAACAGGGGTTTAGGCGAGCAATGAACCGTCAAGGTCCTGGAGAGTGGAGAGATTGATGAGTTGGGCACTGGAGTGGATGTAGCCAGAGGTCTGTTAAGGTGGGTGCCACAGCAAAGGAGAAAGTGTGCGAGCGAAAAGGGGGGTTGGGGGGGAGGGAGGGAAACTCGGGAGATTTTGAGAATTCTCAGAAGCTGTGCTAACGAAAAAGGGGGTTGGGGGGGAGATTCCAGGAGGAGGGAGAAATTGGAAAGCTGTGGACCAGACCAGGGCTGGAGTAGTGTAGCTAGCATGAAGGAAAACACATGATCATTGTAAAGATGGCCATTTTGCACTGGAAAAAGGGCGCGTTATTTATGGGCGTATTAACCCTAACGACAAACTGGGTGATTAGTGTCTTAAGCTCACCGGATTGGGAGAGGACCAGTCTGTTGGTGTTTCGAGGCGCCTCAAAACTAGACTGTCATCACGCGGAGTTTGAGGCGCCTCAAAATTAGACTGTCATCATGCTGGTTTCGAGGCACCTCAAAACTAGACTCACCGGATTGGGAGAGGCCCAAAGCCTGTTGGTGTCCTTGGCAAAACGGAGGCCCTGCATGGGCAGTGGTAGGGGGGAGTGAAGGAGTTGGGGAAGAGACAGAGAGAGAGGGAGTGAAGGAGTTGGGGAAGAGACTGCTTCGCCATACTCGAGCCCCAAGAAGGGCCTCTGTAGGCCCCGGACCGCCTAGACCAGCTAATCTGTCCTTATTCCTTACCTTGCCAGAATGCCTAGCCTGTACCCAGGTTCCAGCAATACAAAGGACCGCTTGAGAGAGAGAGAGAGAGAGTTCTGTAGTTCTGTAGTTTTGTTTTGTTCGAAATTATGTGCATTTATGGACAACTGACCTCTACAGCAGAGGAGGGAGTCCAAAATCCACCATACGGATTAGTGGTGAGCATTATAGCGGGGCTGGCTGCTCTGCATGTGCCAAAGGAAGAAAACCTGAAAGGACACAGGGCAGGGGTTACAGGGCAGGGGTTACAAGGCAGGGGTTACAGGGCAGGGGTTACAGGGCAGGGGTTACAGGGCGGGGGTTACAGGGCAGGGGTTACAGGGCAGGGGTTACAAGGCAGGGGTTACAGGGCAGGGGTTACAGGGCAGGGGTTACAGGGCAGGGGTTACAGGGCAGGGGTTACAAGGCAGGGGTTACAGGGCAGGGGTTACAGGGCAGGCAGGGGTTACAACTTACAGAGGGTTCAGCCACAATGATGGCAAATACAATGTAACCATGATAAAACCACAACACAATACAAGGGGGCTTTGGTAACCCTATGGTAACCCTAACATGAGGTGGTAACCCTACAACGAATTGGTGATCTTGTTTGGCTCAAGCAAGTCTCGAGGCGAGCTCTGCGTTATCACCACACCCAGAGGCACCTCGAAGCTCCCTACCATGAGGTGGTAACCCTACCATGAGGTGGTAACCCTACCATGAGGTGGTAACCCTACCATAAGGTGGCAACCCTACCATGAGGTGGTAATCCTACCATTAGCTGGTAACCCTACCACGAGTTGGTGATCTTGTTTGGCTCCAGCAAGTCTCGAGGGGAGATCTGCGTTATCACCACACCCAGAGGCGCCTCAAAGCTCCCGAAATAGTATTGAGACGTGCTACTAGCGAGTATATTGTTGCTGCTGCTGCTGCTGCTGCTGCTGCCACTGTTGTAACGATCTATGTAGCTTCCGCTGCTGCTGCCTGTGCTTTGAACGTACCCCCTACTGCTGCTGCTACTGATGCTGCTGCTGCTGCCTCTGTTGCTGCTTTCAAACGATGCTCCAGCAATAAATGCTTCGTTACTGTTGCTGCTGCTGCCGCCGCCACCGCCGCCACCGCCGTTGCTGCTGCTGCTGCTGCTGCGATGGCCGCCAAGCATGGCACCATTTTTTCCCCACCTATGGGGTAAGCCGAGCGCCTCCTCCACATGGACGTGATGTCCTTTTAGCCCATGCTGCCCCCCCTGATGCACATGCTTCGCCACATGGTGCCTGTGCCCCACGTGCATGTGCTCCAGGTCACTTAATATCTGTTGAACGCCCATATGCTGCAGCTGCTGCTGCTGCTGCTGCTGCTTTCCCAGGTTATTCCAAACAAACATACCTCTTCTCTCTGCCTCTCCCCCCTCCCTTTCCCCCTCCCTTTCCCCCTCCCTTCCCCCCTCCCTTTCCCCTTCCCTTTCCCCATCTCCCCTCCTCGGCCCCCACCCCAACAGCATTCTCCCCTTGCGCCCTCTTCTTATTCTCCCCCAGCTCCCCCCTCTCCGCCTCCCTCCCTCATTTCTGCTGCCGCTGTCACTGCCACTGCCGCTGTTTCCCGAGCTGCTCCGATCGATGCTTTCCGTTGGATCGAGATCGATGCTGTCCGTTGGATGGGGATCGATGCTGCCCGTTGGATGGGGATCGATGCTGTCCGTTGGATGGGGATTGATGCTGGCCGTTGGAAGGGGATCAAACACAGATAAGCCCAAGGAAGGGTCCACGGGTTGTGAAACCCAATCCAACGGCTCTGCTTCTCCCTCCTCCCCCACTGCTCCCTCCTCCCTCCCCCCCTCCTCCTCCTCTCCTCCCCCTCCGCCAAACCTCTCCCAAGCCTGTGCCTCATATCCCAAGCCTGCAGCCTCGGCAACAGCCTTGCCAGGAGCGGTAGCCTTGGCGGGGGCAGGAACAGCAGCACCGGGCCTGTCGTCCAGGTCCGTTCCCACCAAGCCTGGCGCCTGCCAATCCGTGGTGGGGCCAAAGTCAGCATCAACGGCTGAGATTGGGCGTGAGGGAACGGGGCTGGTAGGCGATGGGAGAGGAGTGGAGGGGAAGAGGGGGGTGGAAGCTAGGGGGCCGAGTGGTGAGGGCAGTGCTACTGGTGCTGCTTCCGCTGCTGCTGTTGCTTCTGATGCTGCTGCTGCTGCTGCTGCTGCTACTGCTGTGAGTGACGCTGCCTTGGCTCGGCTGGTGGTCAGAGGGTTGGGGGTATGGGGGCAAGGTGGGGAGATTGAGGGGTCTATTTTTTATGCAATTCAAAAGTCATCGCGTTGTGAGTGAAGCTGGTGTGAGTGAAGCTGGTGTGAGTGAAGCTGGTGTGAGTGAAGCTGGTGTGAGTGAAGCTGGTGTGAGTGAAGCTGGTGTGAGTGATGCTGGTGTGAGTGATGCTGGTGTGAGTGATGCTGGTGTGAGTGATGCTGGTGTGAGTGATGCTGCCGTGGCACGGCTGGTTGGTGGTGGGAGGGTTGGGGGGGTATGGAGGCAAGGTGGGGAGATTGAGGGGAGTTGAGGTGGGGCGGTGGGATGAGACAGAGTTGAGGTGGGGCGGTGGGATGAGACAGAGTTGAGGTGGGGCGGTGGGATGAGACAGAGTTGAGGTGGGGCGGTGGGATGAGACAGAGTTGAGGTGGGGCGGTGGGATGAGACAGAGTTGAGGTGGGGCGGTGGGATGAGACAGAGTTGAGGTGGGGCGGTGGGATGAGACAGAGTTGAGGTGGGGCGGTGGGATGAGACAGAGTTGAGGTGGGGCGGTGGGATGAGACAGAGTTGAGGTGGGGCGGTGGGATGAGACAGAGTTGAGGTGGGGCGGTGGGATGAGAATGAGTTGAGGTGGGGCGGTGGGATGAGACAGAGTTGAGGTGGGGCGGTGGGATGAGACAGAGTTGAGGTGGGGCGGTGGGATGAGACAGAGTTGAGGTGGGGCGGTGGGATGAGACAGAGTTGAGGTGGGGCGGTGGGATGAGACAGAGTTGAGGTGGGGCGGTGGGATGAGACAGAGTTGAGGTGGGGCGGTGGGATGAGACAGAGTTGAGGTGGGGCGGTGGGATGAGACAGAGTTGAGGTGGGGCGGTGGGATGAGACAGAGTTGAGGTGGGGCGGTGGGATGAGACAGAGTTGAGGTGGGGCGGTGGGATGAGAATGAGTTGAGGTGGGGCGGTGGGATGAGACAGAGTTGAGGTGGGGCGGTGGGATGAGACAGAGTTGAGGTGGGGCGGTGGGATGAGACAGAGTTGAGGTGGGGCGGTGGGATGAGACAGAGTTGAGGTGGGGCGGTGGGATGAGACAGAGTTGAGGTGGGAACAGATGGGGGATAATGGGGGAAGGGTGGAGGTGGGAAGGGAATAGGGAAAGGAAACGAAAGAGCTGACTTGAACAAGGGAAAAAAACTGATGGCCGAAGTAGCCTCACCTGTGCAACTTCCCTTACCTGGCAGCACCAGAGCCGTGCCAGTCTTGACGTGCACGGCTGGTCTGGTCTGGTCTGGTCTGGTCTGGTCTGGTCTGGTCTGGTCTGGTCTCTCTCAGCAACCCCCCCTGCTCACCTTCCACCGGTGCAGTTCTGAGTGCGTCCGATGAACTTGCATTGATCAATCACAACCCCCGTGTCTGTCTTGACGTGTATGGACAGCCCGTTGTCCACAAAGATGGAGGACTGGATGGTCATGAGGCGGGTGATGTGGAGAAACATGCTGGTGGGGGGAAGGGAGGAGGGAGAGGGGGGAGGGGGTCTCTTATTGGACTAAGGTGTCTTCTGATGGTCATGAGGGGGGTGATGTGGAGAAACATGCTGGTGGGAGGGGGGAGAGAAAAGGGGGGGAAGTCAAAAGAGAGAGAGGGGGAGGGAGGGGTAAAGTCTTTGAGTGGACACAGGTGCGTCACATGCAGGGGAGGGGGGGGGGGGGTAATGACTACCCCCATGTCTGACGTCACATGGACCGGATGGTCATCAGCCAGTGATGTGCAGAAAGAAACATGCTGGTAAGGAGAAGGGAGGGGGGGGGGGGGGAAGTGGGAGGGACTTTGAGTGGGACTCAATCGCCTTGGCATGTACAGCCAGACCGTTATCAATGAAGAGACGAAACGAATGGAATGGAATGCGGTGCTTTGCAATAACGAAGGTGATTCTTGAGTTGACTCAAAAATCGCTTTGCAATAACGTGCTATTCGTAGCATTGTGTAGACAGGCAGCTTACCCGACTTCGTTGCGGTATATGAGGAAATTGGACAAAGTCACCTGCAAAGCAAGCAACGAGGGACATCAAAAGACACATCAACAGAAACAGCTTTTTTTGCATCAAAAGCACACTTTTAGTGTACGGTGGGCAAGCCAACAACAACCCAAAACAGCTCAGCAGCCAAGTGTTCAGACTTCTGAAAGGGCTAGATGTTCTAACTTCGGCATGCTAGGCACACTATGTGAGTGTGTTAGAATATTCCCCAATTCTATATTAGTCTACATAGTTTATAAGGCTTAAGTAGTTGTAAGCAACCTATGTCAACTAGGGTGTAGCAACCATAGTTTGGGGGTTGGCTTCCCAACTTGGTTGGGCTCCAACCAACCTTGACCAATATTAGCCCCCCCAATTGGTTGGGCCTCCCAATTATTGCAGACCCCAATAAATCCTACCAAGATTATTGGACCCTCCAATAATCTTGGTTGGGATTATTGGACCCCCCAATAATTCCCAACTCAATTGTTGGTGGGGGCCAATAACCTTGGCCACCAACCAACCCCCCCACTACCCTCACACCTATGTATACCCCCATTCCTTTAATAACATCAACTTCTCTTCTCACAGAGTGCACTTAACCACACATAGAAAAAACAGCACACATAGGCACACACACTTACTCGTGCACCAAGGGGGTAGGAGCGGAACCCAAACTTGGCTGAATGGGCCACATTCCCGGTGTAAGCGCCGAAATTAGTCTCTACGCGGTGCACTTACCCTAGCGCCAGGAGCATAGGGTAACATCCCGTGCGGGTATGAGCGGAACCCAAACTTAGCCGAGTGTGCCACATTCCTGGTGTAAGTGCCAAACTTAGTCTCTACGCAGTGCACTTACCCTAGCGCCAGGAGCATAGGGGAACATCCCATGCGGATAGGAGCGGAACCCAAACTTGGCTGAATGCGCCACATTCCCAGTGTAAGTGCCAAACTTGGTTTGTACGGGACACATGTCACGAGCGTTGGGTAAGAGCTGGGATAAACCGCGCATCTTATCTTTTAGCTCTGTCCAATAGCTGGGAAGGGAGATGGGTGAAGGGTCGAATAAGGGAGGCACATTCTGGTGTGTAAGTGCCGCCAAACTTAGCAGTCTCTACGGGGCACATATCAGGAGCGTTGGGTAAGAGCTGGTATAAACCACGCATCTTATCTTTTAGCTCTGTCCAATAGCTGGGAAGGGAGATGGGTGAAGGGTCGAATAAGGGAGGCACATTCTGGTGTGTAAGTGCCGCCAAACTTAGCAGTCTCTATGGGGCATATGTCATGAGCGGTGGGTAAGAGCTGGGATAAACCGCGCGTCCTGTCTTTTAGCTCTGTCCAGTAGCTAGAAAAGGAGGGAGGGGAAGACGAGTCAAGGGGCAAGGGAGGGAGGCACATTCCTGGTGTAAGTTCCAAACCTGTTCTCGATATTCCCTCTAAGAATTCGCACAATAAGATAAGGATGCAGGAAGGACAAATACAACACACGAAAATATATTAAAATGTAAAATAAAGACAAAGATGCCACAGGAATAAAAGCGTTTCTTGGAGGGAGAATTAGGAAAAAATAGTTGGGAGTGAATAAGGGGAGCTGAGTTTGACCTGATGGAATATTAGGGGCGGGGGGGGGGGACCACCATACTTCACCACCACTCACCCTGAATCGTCTGATCCTGCCGAGGTGACTTTTGATTCGACTCAAAAGCCACCTCCATACTTCACCTCCATACTTCACCTCCATACTTCACCTCCATACTTCACCTCCATACTTCACCTCCATACTTCACCTCCATACTTCACCTCCATACTTCACCTCCATACTTCACCTCCATACTTCACCTCCATACTTCACCTCCATACTTCACCTCCATACTTCACCTCCATACTTCACCTCCATACTTCACCTCCATACTTCACCTCCATACTTCACCTCCATACTTCACCTCCATACTTCACCTCCATACTTCACCTCCACTCACCCTGAATCGTCTGATCCTGCCGCTACATTGTTAATATAATCGTTGTTGGGGTTGGCCATCCAAAATGTGCTAGGCTTGTCGTCTGTGTGCTTATCGAATGACTCCATAGAGGGGATAACCACTTTCACTGCATGAAGTCATGCATCAAAAGCAATCGCATAGGGCGCATGCAATGCAACATGCACAGCAAAGAGACCAGAACTAAGGGGCTTATCGTATGACTCCTTAGAGGGGATGACCACTTTTACTGCACGAGGTCACACAGGAAAGCAATCGCATAGGGAGCACACACAAGCAGCAAGCAACCAAAGAATGGCATAAGGGGGGATGGTCATTGGCCAGCACATACACATCTGACATGGGTGCCAGGCAAAAAATGACTTATCAACAGTCAACCTCCCCCACCCTCATCCTCCCTCCTCCCTCATCCTCACCCTCAACCACACCCTCCCTACCCTCCCTACCCTCCCCTCCCCGCTCAACCTTGATGCAGTGCTCCTCCTGCTGTTACTCCCCTCGCTCCCAAACGAGGGAACCTGTAAGCCGGCTCTTGCTGTCACCCAATCCCCGAGTCACTCTTTCCCTTTGCCCTCCCTCCCACCCACCCAGACACCCACCTTTCCTGACGGCAATCCCAAGGTTCCTTCTGAAAACACTGTTGCTCTCCGACCCCTCCTCCACGCCCTCCACCCCCTCCCACCCGCTCCCCAATATCCCACGAATCTTCACCCCCCTGTCTCACCTTTCCTGACGGCAATCCCAAGATTTCTTCTGAAAACATTGTTGTTCTCCGACCGACCCCTCCTCCACCAGCAAGCAGTAATCGTCATGTTGTTACACCCCTTGCTCTCGATTGAAAGGACCTTCTGACCCACACCACACACCCCCCTGTCTCACCTTTCCTGACGGCAATCCCAAGATTTCTTCTGAAAACATTGTTGTTCTCCGACCCCTCCTCCACGAGGAAGCAGTGGCCCTTGCTCTCGTACGTGACCGTGTCCTCTATGGTCATGTTGCTGGTGGCGTGGATCACCACACAGCGCTGGGAAGGGAGGGGAGGAAGAAGTGACACCCACAAGATAAGCAAAACCAGGAAGCGGTGGCTCTTGCTCTCGTATGTCACTGTATCTTCGGCGGCCCGTGTTGCTGGTCGCATGGATGACCACAAAGCGCTGGGAAGGGGGAAGGGGGGAAAGGGAGAAGCAACACACATAGCAAAAAGTGCCCTTTGCTGTCATATGCCACTGTCTCCTCTTCGATGGTCGTGTCGTGGTGCTGGTCGCATGGATCAAGGGAGGGGAGGGGGAGCGGGACGGGCAAAGGGCAAATCGTGTTAGGAGTTGCCTCAAACTCCAGAGCACCAGGAAGCAGTGGCCCTTGCTCTCGTATGCCATGTTTGCTGGTCGCATGGATCAAGGGAGGGGAGCAAAGGACAAGTTAACCTTCATTCTTGCGCCTGACATGGCTACACATAATTGCATGTGCTCCTCATTGCCTGTTTGCACATCCCAATCCCGTTACCTAAAGGCCGCACTTGGTGTGAATACAGCCCTCATTATTACTTGCAGGTTTCCTGTTTGCTGTTCACTAATGTATTCTTCCACACTACGTGGCTCTGGTTCGCCTGTCCACACACACATGGATGGAAGTGCCGGGGGTGCCAGCACAACCCCAACACGGCCTGCTGCAATGCATGCTCGTTACCAGCTACTATGCATGTTGGGGCGAAGAGAGCAGTCTCATGTGTAGTAGCAGGTACCGGCGCAACCCAACACGGCCTGCTGCAACGCATGCTCGATACCTGCTAGGTTAGAGGTACAGAAGATACCGCATACTGGCTTCGCTGCGCATTACCTGCTTGCTGTACACAATCGCGTTCTTCCGCACTACGTGGCTCTGGTTGGCTTGCCCACACACGTGGAAGTGCAGGGGGTACCGCCCCAGCACGCCCTGCTGCCCCATATACGCAAACTGCACTCCCTCGATGTACTGAGGGGTCTGCGTCATAAACACCATGAAGTGGCCGCCTGGGAAGTAAGAGGTGAGGGGAGGAGGAGAATTGGTAAGAGTAGGATGGAGCAGGACACATGGATGCGCGAACTGCACTTGGTAAGTTCAATTAACTGAGGGGTCTGCGGCGTCATGCCTCATGAACACCATGAATGGCGTGACCGCTTGGGAACAATGAGGTGAGGGGGGCGGGAGGGAGAGAGAGTGCGAGGGAATAGAGCAGCACGCTTGGAAGTGCAGGGGGTGCCACCGACCCAGCATCCCCTGCTGCCCCATGTACGCGAACTGCACTCCCTCGATGGACTGAGGGGTCTGATCTGAGTCATGAACTCCATGAAGTGACCGCCTGGGAAGTAAGAGGTGAGGTAAGGGAGAGTGAGGGAACGACTTTTGAGGCGCCTCAAACGGCGTCTCATTACTCTGGGAGGGGGTGAGGGCGAGTGAGGGAACGGGAACAGAGCAGAGCTCATGGGTTATGTGCGCTGCACTCCTTCGACGTACTGCCAATTGAGGGGTATGCGTCATGAACACCATGAAGTGACTGCTTGGGATGGGATGGGATGGGATGGGATGGGATGGGATGGGATGGGATGGGATGGGATGGGATGGGATGGATGAGCAAACGAATGACAGCGTAGGAGAGGAGGAGAACACACCCCAACAAACCATCACAAACACACCCCATTATAGTCACACTCCTCGTACATTCCAGCTTGTATCTCCCCGGCTCTAGCAGCCCGTAGACCACAATGTTACGGTGCAGCAGCCCCACCTCCCCCCTCACGCTGTTTTTGAGGCGCCTAAAAAAAAAAAAAAAAAAAACCTCCCCCCTCACTCTGTTGCCCATACACACATAACTACAGTAGCAAGCAACCCATTGTATTCACTATTCTTGTACCTTCCAGCTCGTATTTCCCCGGCTCATGCAGCCCGTAGACCTCAGCAGCCCCACCTACCTCGCCCCTCGCGTCCACTGCCCCCATCTCGCCCTGTTAAGATCACACATGCACTACAGTCACAGTCCTTCACAGGCACTCTCTTACCTTCTAATTCGTATTTCCCGGGCTCATGCAGCCCGTAGACCACGATGTTGCGGTGCAGCAGCCCCACCTCGCCCCTCACGTCCACTGCCCCCATCTCGCCCTGTTAAAATCTTAGTTGCTACAAACGCTCTGGCAGACACGCGTTTAGCGTTCAAACGCTTGCGTTTGAACGCAAACGCCAAACGCACCCAAAAACGCAACTGCTCTCTGGGATATTTTTCGGGCTGCCCCCCCAAAAAAAACACGAGATTGTCGTTGGAGAATAGCATTAAGGATATGTGATTTACATGACATATGAGGATGCTGGCTTAAATGTTAAGCACGGTTCTTTTTTATGAGACAAAATGCTTGCGGGTAGAACCCCCATGTTGCCCCCCTCCCCCACAAGAATCTTGAACCCCTGCCCTGGTAAAAATTTTACCCCTGCCCGGGCTAGCGTTTGCCTAGCGTTCACATACACACTGCCGAGCGTTTAGCGTTCAAACGCTAGCGTTTAAACGCTAGCGTTCAATCGCCAAACGCGTTTGTAGCAACTAAGGTTAAAATCACACATGCACTACAGTCACAGTCCTTCACAGGCACTCTCTTACCTTCTAATTCGTATTTCCCCGGCTCATGCAACCCGTAGATCACGATGTTGCGGTGCAGCAGCCCCACCTCGCCCCTCACGTCCACGGCCCCTCCGAACCCATCGGGAATGGCGTTGGGATTGCCGTCGTGGGTGAACTTCAACGGGGTTGTCAGATTTATCAAGTAGCCTTGAGGGTGCGGGGACACTGGAAAGGGGAGGAAGGGAGCCGGGAGGGAGAGGAGAGGAAGGAAGCTTGGCCGGAAGTCATTGCAGCCGTGGATGGCTGGTGTAGCCTTGGAATTGGCTGTCACCGGCCACCGGCCACAGACGCACTGCACCACATAGCACCGCACTGCAACCCACTGCACACTCCATACCTGCCACTCTAACCAGCTTCATCCATCTTGGCACTCATCGCAATCTCGCCGCCTGGCCGGCCAACCAGGATACTCATAAAACAGCGCACCACTCTGCACCCCCCTGAACCACTCTTTAACCCCCCCCCTTACCTCCCGCTATAAGTGCATTCTCAGCCTCGCCCATCTTGGCACTTGTGGACGCAATCGGAATCCCGCCGCCCACTGGCCACCGGCCACAGAAACACTACACCAGATTGCACCGCACTGCAACCCACAGCACGCCCCCTCCTCTCCTGCAATAAGCGCCCTCTCTGCCTCGTCCATCCTGCCTCTCGTTGACGCGATCGCAATCTCGCCGCCTGGCGGTCCAGCCAGGCCACTCCACACACAAAGCAGCACACCGTTCTGCACTGCCCTGAACCGCTCTCCAACCCCCCTTACCTCCTGCTATAAGCGCCCTCTCTGCCTCGTCCATCTTGGCACTCGTTGACGCGATCGCAATCTCGCCGCCCACCGGCCATGAGCTGACGTCGCCGTCCACCACGATCTCCTTCCGGCCGGCGATCGCCGTCTTATTCAAGCGGACCCAAACGGGCATGGATGGCGGGCCTGGGAGGCCGTGCAAGTCCGCTTGTCCGCCAACCTTGGTGGTGCGGGGGAGGTGGGGGGGAGGAGCGGGGGAAGGGGGGGCGAGGGGGGGCGAAAAGAGAGACAAAGAGGGGCTATAATATATACGCACCCACATGGGCATGGGGGTCCTGGGAAGCCGTGCAAGTCCGCTTGACTGCCGGCCTTGATGAGGGGAGGAGGAATTGGTGGGGAGGGGGGGCGAGCGAGGGGGGGACGAGGGGGGGGGGGAGGAGTAGGGGCGGAAGAAGGGGCGGAAGAATGGGCGGAAGAAGGAGGGGGCTATCATTGAACCCCACCCACACGGGCATGGATGGGGGGCCTGGGAGCTCATCTAGGTCCGCTCATCAAGGGGGGGAAGAGGAGAAAAGTGGGCGACGCTGGGGCAGTACTCGCTCGTTAAGGCTGGGTGCTACTCACCACTGCAAACACCTTGTGGCCCAGAGTCCGAGGGAAAGCAGGTTCAGCTGGGGGAGCCAGAGGGAAGCCGTGCTCCCTCCTCTGCTGCCTTTGCCTGTGCTTTCAACCAACCAACTCACTAAGGCATTGGCATTGGTTGCTACTCACCACTGCCAACACCTTGTGCCCCAAGGGCCGTGGGTACGCGGGTTCAGCCGGGGGATAGAGGGTGAAGATGTACTCTCTCCTCTGCCGCCCGCTGTTGGGCGTGAGCGTGAACAGTGCCTGGGCGGCGAACTGCTTGTCCTTTTCCCCCACTGTCAGCCGCCCCGTGACTATAATGAAGTTGGCGCGGACCTGAATACGCGGCAACCGTGGCTTGTCGTCCAAGAGCCTGCAAGGGGGAGGCGAGAGGGGTTGATATGTGACTGTTATGAAGGGAAGTTGCATTGTGTGGGTGGGGGGGGGGATGGGGTGGGGGCGGGGTTGGGGGAGGCCAGCAGATTATACTGAAGTTGGTGCGGACCTGAATGCAAGGCAGGCATGGCTCGTCGTCCAAGTACCTAGAAAGGGGCGGCAATAGGGGTGGAAGGTGACTTGGGTTGCTTTGCAGCTGCAACACCCAAGGCAACCCTGGTTACAGTAGCAGCAATGAGTAACACCGGAGTTCCACACAACAATTTTTCCAACTGTACACAGTATTGTCCCTTGTAACGTACTTGAGCCATCCGTGCACATGTAACGTGTCGAGGGTTACATTCGCCACGTCGAGTAACACAGCCGTGCCGCACGGTACAGTCACGTTGACTGCTGCCTTCGACCCCACTCCCGGCACGTCCTTGCTGCCCCTGTACGCTGCTCCCCACGTGGCCAGATCGCTCCACCTTTGCCACCCTGGTGAGCCGTGCGAGGGAAGTGGGGGAAGAGGGAGCAGGAGGGGGAGGAGGGGAGGAGGGGGAGGAGGGGGAAGAGGGGGCAGGAGGGGGAGGAGGGGGAGGAGGGGGGGAGGGGGAGGAGGTGGGAGAGGGAGGAGGGGGTTGCTTGGGAGTAACACAGCTGCGCCGCACGGTACAGTCGCGTTCACAGCTGCCCTTGACCACACCCCAGGCACGTCAGTGCTGCCCCTGTATGCTGGTCCCCTCGTGGCGCAACGCACCTCCCGGCGTTCCGCTCATCGGCGGAAGCGGACACGGCGGGCGGAGCACGTCCAGCATAGTCCTTGGGGGAAGGAGCGGCGGGGGAGGGGGAGAAGAGGAGAAGCGGCACTACTACGTAGCTCCGGATGGCCCGCTGATGGGCGCGAAACGCACCTCCCGGTGGCCCGCTGATGGGCGGAAGCGGGCACGGCGGGCGGAACACGTCCAGCACGCTCATCGGCGCAGCGAGCGCGGAGGGCAGGCCAGGGAAGAGCGGAGCGGGGAACGGAGTGCGGAGGAACGGGCAATCGGGGAAGAGCGGAGCGGGGGAGAGGAGAAGCGCGACGAGGGGGAGGAGCAGGAGCGCGTTGGCGGAGGGGAAACGTGGACGGCGGGAGATGCGGGAAGAGCGGGAGGTGGCGGAACCGTGAGAGCGGAACGGAGAGCGGCTAGGGGCCGCGGGGTTTGAAATCGTCGCAGCCATGGTGATCGGATAACGCTCGCTCGTGATGTTCGCGGAACGGTTTGTAACGGGAGAGAGGAGCAGCACGCGGAAAAGCCGTCAGACTGCGGCTGCGCGCGGAAGAGAGGAGCCGCGCGGCGCGGGAGTGAGGAGAAGCGCGCGGGGGTGAGCACGACTACTATCAGCACTTTCACGGAAGCTTCCAGCTTGGACGAGTACACTTGAAGTGCGAGTACAAAACACGCGACTCGCACGAATCCTACTATTGCGGTATCGTCAGCGAGACAACTTTCGCCGCTCACAGTATTCACAGAATTTGCGCTGCTATCACGGGCTGTACAGACTCTGCGCCGACTCGTACTACCGCTCGTCAGCGAGTCGAATCGCTGCTCGCAATATTTACGGCGAGTCTGCGACTCCTACAAATGCGGTAAGTACAGACTCTGCGGGACTCGAACCGCGTGCTAGTTCTCCGCCTTATGCGTTCTCCATGGCAATTCGTAACGAGAGTGCAGTGCTCAAAGAGGGTCGGACTGACATGCTAGCATAACCCTGGAGCCGCGTGCTCACTCACACCACATCATGATGATGATGCTTCCCCCGTGCAGTCCGTCCAAAAGCTACTACACAAGCCATACGTTCTGCCCGCTTGAGGAGTCTATTCTATTGGCGCCTCAATAGTACCGTGCTCCCTCACTCACTCACACCACTTGCTGGAGTCCGCCCATAAACTGCTGCACAAGCCGTACGTTCTGCCTGCTTTCTGAGGCGCAGCAGAATCGATTCTCTTGTCATTCTGGGCTTGCATTGCATCTGTCGCCTTGAGCACAAGAAAAGCGCAGACCACAGTGGACCAGCGGTAGCTTGGTGGTACTTGCGGTGCGAGAGGTACAATGTGGTTTGGTGCGTTTTTGTTTGGTTTAGTATGGTGTGGTGTGGTGCGCGGTCATGGGTCAGTGCCAGAACAAACCTTGGGGGAAATCACGAATCGGTAAGGGAGGGGAGCACGCTGCCCCCTTTCATCACACTCCACCCTACATAAACGTAACACGACCTTTTGAAATCAACCACATCCCACTCCACCCCATCCAAACGCATTCCCCTCGCCGAAGTGCAGCTTCACAACCTGACAGTGAACATGAGTGGGCTGAAGGTTTTGCGACAAAAGTGAACCCCTTGATGACGCCGGTTACCAGGCTCGCTGCCACTGGGTTCTACCTCACGACCTGTTGACGCCACTCCAAAGCTTCAACTAGGGGCGGCTTTTCTGGCCTGCCTCGGTGTGGCGGTTTGCTCCTTGAATTTCCGTTAGGGAAAATTAACTTCCACAAGAGAGAATGGACACACCAAAACATGTTTACTTTATACAATGCGAATTGTACTTTATTTTACTTCACATTACATTAAGGATGTAAAAAATAACTTAAATTGGAATATTAATTCATCAAAATAAGAATTTTATCATCACTGTTTTGGTTACAATAGCATTATCTGGGAAGACATTATATTTGTCTGTAAGACATGTACAAAGATTCTATTAGTTTCAGCAAGCTTCCTATATCGGGACAGGGCGACGTTTTTTTGTGACTATACTCCGCTGGTCGCATAATGCGAGAAGCGTCCGAGGCTCGATTTTCAAGTCCCAAACCTGCCTCGTCCGGCTCACTGCTAGGCTTCTCGTGACCTCTTAGACGGTTCCGAATCGGGCTACCAGACCCACAAAACCTTTCACATATCCATTGTTTACTATTTCAAGGTGGGCGCAAATCTGCGTAAGCACAGGAGGGGAACGGATGTCGGAGCTTTTACAAAGTTTGTCACCCTCTTTCGGTCAAAGTTCAACACTTCAAGAAGTGAAACAGCTGAAATTACCGGCAAATATTCAAGTACGTCACCTTCATGCAGCCCTGCTTTACCCTAGCGCCCAAACCAAAAGCCTGACCTGAGTCCTTGCCTTGGGATTTCCGCAAGCCGTGGTACTTTGCGGACCGCACGCTTCCTCGCGTCGGCCCTCGAAATGACGGCTCGGTTCTGATTGTTAGCGCGCTTCGAGCTGTCTGGTCTGGCCGGGTGTCGCTGGTTCGGTGTGACAGGAATTTCTTCGCGCGCCTCTTGAAAGTAGAGCCCAGTCGATTCGGCGAATGTCACCTTACATTCAGAATCTAGAATCCTAAGGGAATGACGCGCTTCTGGAAAGTCGCGTCCGTTGTCACGTGCCGAGCCCCGCCGAGCGCGTCTCCGATTCCCTCTGTCAGTTTTCTCCCGTATTGTTTTATGGGGGTTTTTTAGACACATCTGGGTCAGGAGTCAAATTTCGACGTGTCGCCAGCTGGGTTTCTTGAAATTTGCATAGGGACAAACATTATTGGGATGCCAAATCTTGATGCTTCTTTGACTCGTGCCGATTCCGTGCACGTTTGATTGCCGCAAAACGTGGATTTTATAACTGCCAGAAATTTCGGGCAGAGGGCAACAAAATGAAACCCATATGGGCCCAACATGCCATTCGGAATGGCATCAGCCCTAAACTCGCAAGAGGGCCGCGAATTCAGGGTTGATGCCATCCCGAATTGCATGCAGGACCCCTATGGGTTTAGTTTTCCCTTGCCTACTAAACTGCCCGGATTGTGTCATTATTGGCGGTTTCGTTTGATAGTTCTAAGATGCGTCCAAAACACACCGCACGCGAGTACTGTGCACCTGCGGCCAAAACGCAGTTGTTGCATACGAAAACATCGGGCAAGGAAAAATTCAGAAGTACATGGTACAACCAACGTGAAAATCGTATATGACACAAAACAATGGACAGCGGGAATCGAAAACGCGCTTGGCGGGGTTCAGGTAACTGCTCGTGAAAACAGGAATTGAAAACGCGACTTTTCGGAAGCGCGTTATTCCTTCTGGAATCCTCCTTCCCCTGAACTCTTCTGCTGAGGGAAAGTCCTGCTGCCTTCTAGTTTCCAGGATTCCAAAATCGCTCTAGCCCTTTTAAAGAAATATCCGTCTCGTGTCTTCTCATTACTTCTAGGTTCTCGCTGCTAATTATATTTTAGCTCTTGTTGCAGATCCTAGCGGCAAATTGTGAGGTGGGCAATAACGTCTAGCGGCTTTGAGACCACATTTTATAGGAACTGTCCGCTCTTGTCATTGCAATCTCCTAACAACAGCATGGGTGCTGAAGCGAGCAAGGCGAGTCCCAAGTCGATGCAACGGACGCACATGATGGTCGAGGAAAACCGAGTTATGCTCTTCAGGTAAGAGATGCTTGAGAATCTTCAGGTAATGGTCTTCATATTATTTTCCTTCACGTACGGTGCCTTTCCTCTATGGTACAGAGGGAGCATATCTCGACCCCTCCTCGATGAATCTCTGGAGCGTGCCACACTGTTTCAAGCAATATTCTCTCTACTTCCCAAAACGCTAGGACCGTTCCCCCCCTTACCTGCCCATCTCTTCACCTCCCGCAGTAAATCGTTCGACCCCTATTCCATGAAAGTCAAGAGTGTGCTTCACGGCCTCGGCGTGCGACCCAGTGTAAGCAGCTGAAATTGCCTCTTTCTCTTCGTCTGCTCGTTAAATCCTCGTTTTTCTCCCTCTCCTTTCCGTGCGACCCAGTGTAAGCCGAACCAGTCGTGGGTCGTGTGAGGTCGTCCTGTCACGCTGAGTCGTCCGACAATAGCCTGTTAAACTAATCTTCCGACGACGTCCTATCACACTTACGGTAGTCGTCCAACTTCGTCCTGTTACACTAGGTCGTTCGACGACGTCCTGTCACGCTAAGTCGGCCGGCTACGTCCTCTTGCACTAGGCCGTCCTTTCTGCCTGCCCTCCCGTCTTTCTGTGCCCTCCCGTCCTTCTTCGCCCCCCGTCCTTCGCTTGTTTCTTCCATTTCAACGGTCGCAATATTCCTGCACTCCTTGCAATTTCCGTGCTGCGACTTTTTTCTCACCAGGTCTGCGAACTCGATAAAGAGTTCGACGGCGAGGAACTGGAGGACGCTGTAGCGAGTATGACTGGAACACACACGATACCCAGCTTATTCATCAACGGGCGCTTCATTGGTGGCGTCGATGGTGAGTAGATTTTCAATGAAGCTGCTCGTAGAGAGTATAGCTGAGACAAAAACCATTCCCTGCTTAATTATCAACGGGCGCTTCATTGGCGGCGTCGATGGTGAGAATTAACCACTTGGTGAGGTCAGAACCAGTGTGCAACTCTTATATCGACGCTGCTCATAGCGAGCAGCAGGGACACATACCCCTTGTTGTTTAATGGTCGATTCATTGGTGGCTTCAAATGTAAGTCCTTGTTGAGCACGTTTGTAGCACGATCCTTACATTATGTCGAGGCGGCTTGTTATGTATTACATCACGATGTGTCACAGTGAACATTCAAATATCATACTGTGCCCTGATAATGTTGATGTCATTGCTTTGTTGTGATGTCTTTATGCCCCGTACTTCCTGCCAGATAATATTTATTACATTGTTTCATGCACTGATGATTTGTCTCGCTTCCCCGCTTTCCTTCCCATTCCTCCCTTCTCACTATAGCAATTATCGCGTCCTCATTTACCCTGTCCGTTCTCCTCTTCTCCCCCTGCCCCATCCCGCGTTCTTTTCTCTGCTACAAACGTGCGCAGGGTGCACTACAGCAGGGATCTCACCCTCATTCACCATTCTTGCTTCTTCCCACACTTTTTATGTCTGTGCTGCAGATGTGCTCAGCATGCACTATAACAGGGACCTCGTTCCTATCCTCCAAGAGGCAGGTGCAATCGCTTATTGAAAACCTGATGCTTCTCTGTATAGATATGAGGGGTAGAGTTTTGGGGAGGGTAGACTGATCGTTACTGTACCAGCAGCGGTTTCAACATACGTCTCCTTACGCATCAAGGACAGTAGTGGCATCCGCATCAAGGGTTTATAGCATCAACAGGTTGCGTTGCATATAGAAATGAAGTTGATGAGAACAAGGAAGCTCGCATGTGCTTTGCATGTTTTTCTATTTCTATATGCATTTGTACAGAGCTGAATTCGTCATTACGTAGTTCAGCACACATCTTCCTCTGGGAGTGGGGACAGTGGGGCAGGCCACTCGTGAATGGTGGAGATGCGACTCCATCTGGAAGCACACTTGGCTGCCGAGTTGTCCACTGCAGCCGGAACCCCACACTTCCACCACAAGTCCTGAGCGACAGGTGCGTACAGTACACCACAAATGGCCCAAATACATGGAAATCACCACGGAGACTCGGGGCGCATTCCGCAGCGAGTGTCAGACCTTCGGGCCCAGAAGACCCCAGGATGGAATAAAATTGTCTCGGGTCTAAAATGAAACTGAAGGAGTTCGCTAGGTAGCCGACAACCCATAACAACACGCGCTAATAGTCGTCCACCAATGGAATACCAGTGAAGCTCAACTGCAGGCCCGCGATGATGTGCTGAGTCAGATGGGACAAAACCCACTCGGCAGCTGAGTCAGCTGTGTAGTCACATTTTCCTTTTGCGACTATTTGATAAGGTTTCGATGATGCACCGTCAATCTCACTAAACCTGCAGTTAGGTTTGACAATCCGCGGCTTCTTGGACCGCGGGTTTGCCTCGGGTATGACACTCGCTCCGGAATAACCCTCATATTAGCCAGGGCGCGTATTCAGTTTGGCTCACTCTAGTGACGACCAATCACATCATTTGTTTTACTGCCCGAAACGAGTTAAGGGTTGATGCCTCCTAAATGACAACCAGATTTTCCTAGGGGTTTATGTTTTTTGCTTGCCCGAAAACGAATGTTATGTGAGTGAGGCAAAATGAATAGGCCTCTGGCATTATGTGAGAGCGGCGTATCGTGGACCAATCAACGCGCGCAGCCTACATTAGGGGAGCTGAGTCAGCCCGACGAGCTCGCCACGTTGTCCGTTTACCCCCTTGACCCACATCTGCCAATTCAAGACTCGGCAAGACCTAGAATATCCTATTTCCTCTATGTTGTTCTCAAGGTTCCTAGACTCCTGTTAACTCTTGTTTCGCCTCCAGGCAGGTTGCTTCCTGCTCCTGCTCTCGCCCTGTCACGATGTGGCTCGCACGCCATTCCCCCGCTGTCAGCATCACCAGCCTAGCAGGGTCGACCCGACAATTTCACCAGCCGACATTAGTTGTCCACGCCGTATATTCCGCTTGATTACAGTATATCAAGTCTGGCAAGGCGTAGCTCAGCAAGTCATGATAGTATCGCAAGGGTTCGTACCGCACAGCACAGTACGTGCCGCGAGACATGTACAGGCACGTGACGTACCATAGTACGCATAGGGAGACAGACCAGATTGAGTACAGCAAGGCGTATTGTGTACAGCAAGGCGTATCATGTACAGCAAGGCGTATTATGTACAGCAAGGCGTATTATGTACAGCAAGGTATAGGATGAGTCAAGCAAGTCCAGGCAAGGCTTGTGAAATTGCATCCAGCAAGCTCCAAGCTGCTCATCTCCCAATATTAGCCAGACGCAGTCAGCCTATAAAATCCAGGCCAAAGCCAAAGCAAACCATCGCACTTTAATCTGCTCTGCTACTTCCGCCATCTGCATCGCTCTCAGGCGCTTCTGAAGTATATTCTTTCATTTGCTCTATTAGTCTCCCTGCTTCCTCCGTCTGCTGGTCCGCTCGTCCTCTCAACAATGGCTCCTCGTACTAATCTCATCTTCATCGCCGTCATCATCACGCTACAGGCCTCCGCAATCGTCGCGCAGACGTGCTCGTGCGCCGACTGCGAGACGGTGGCCCCTCCCTGCTACGCCAGCAGGTGCGATTCTCAATTTGACCCGGAAATTGTAACATTAACGTTTTGACAATCTGACACGTGCGTTTTGAGCCGATAGGAGCGTGATTTTGGGATCAGTGCGATGCTGTGTGTGTTTCGCTGGCACTGCAGGATGATGAGTGCAATCCTGGCTAGTATGGTCAGCGTGTGAGGTGTGTGTGATGCCCCCCCCTCCCTGCTATGCCTGCAGGTGGTACGCATGGTGGATCAAGGACGACTGCAGCTCCCAGACCCTGTGGAACAACGTCAAGTCATCCAGCGACGTCCGCAGCAGCGTGTTTGCAGTCTGGGGTCCCGGCACCCCCGGCGCCACCACCAGCTTCCAGAGCTATGTGCTTATGGCCGCCAACAACTGGAGGAAGCCCCAGTGCGTGAAGAGCTACCTTCTCGACTGGATCAAGTGCAAGGCTGCGCCCACGGACTCCGCTGTGCAGTTTTACAACTCCGCGCTCGGAGTTGGCGTGAGCGGGATCAAGGACGTGAGGAGCATGAACACGTTCGTGACGGCTGTGATCAAGAAGATCGGCCAGAGTGTGTTCAACACGCTGGCTGGGATGCTCAGGCAGCGCGGGCTGCAGGCCCATGTGGTGATGGCGGGCACCTGGTGCTAGATACCTAAACTGGTGCTAAATGTGTAAAAATATGGTGGAGACAAGGGGACAAGGGGTAAGGGGACAACGGGTAGTTTGCCCTTTTTGGGTGCATGGAGGGTGAGGTCGCTAATATGCTCAAGCAGCACGGTCTGCTCTGCAGGCTCGGGATGTGATGGCAAAGACGTACTGCTGGTATCATTCTGTTTGTTTCTCACACTGTTGTTCTGATCGAGCCATTTTTTTTACACAGTGCAAGGCAGGACCCCACCACCAGTTGGATTGACGAGTAACCAAGTACTGTAGATGCAAAGCAGCTACCAGAGGGAGATGCGAGTCGAATCAATCCATCCTTCAGGCTGTTTGACTTACCACGAGGTGTGGTTAGCCACCAGCAGCACCAGCACGGCACAAGTCAGCACCTGTTGGATTGGAGTGGAACAACGGAGATGGCTATAGATTTTGGGCAACAGAGGCCAAAACATGAAAATTGAAAAAAGGACAAGGGAGATACGAAAAAAAAAAGGGGGTGGAGGGGGGTGGGGGGGGACTTGGAGCATCTAGCACCAAGGTTCCTGGCAACAGCAGCAGCAAGAGGGAGCATGTGCCGCCCTGCCCTACCAAGAAGCATCACCCCACTTCACTGAGGAGCAGTTTGGCTCCTCACCAGGGCCCAGGATTGGTTTTGGGGCACCCTTAGGAATCAGGGTATCATGACGATTTCACCCTGATTTGTGAGGGTGCCAGGGGGAAATTCGGCCTCAAAACAGTTTTTTACCCTTAAAAAATCAGGGTACACTCCAAAAAGTGGCCATTGGTAAGGGGAAACAGGGTGAAATCCCTTGAATCACTGGCCCCGCTCCTCACCGTCCTCAGCGCAACAAACTCCCCTTTACCACGAAATCAAAGGACTAGCAGTTGCAAGAAACGGGTATGCTCGCCCTGCACAACGCTACAAACATATGTAATGGGAATATCATTTCATATGGTGCATTACTTACTTTACTGGAGGGCATTTTGGGCTCCTCATCCTTCCCAAAACTATGCTCTCTCCGCCGTACTGCGCGTAGGTTTGGCCGACGCTGAGCGCCAGGTTCGGTTGCTTGTTGCGGTAGGTGCAGCGCTGGTACATGAGGTTCGGATTCCGACCCTTGCCACGGCATGGCCTGGAGGGGAAGAATGAGGATAGGACGGAGAGAGGCGAGAAGCGTAAAACACAAAGTGCACCAAGGCACATCGTAAGAGCGCTGGTACATGCGCTCTGGTTCGGAGTCATTCTTTAGAATTCTAAAAAATGAGTCCGCTGGTACATGCGCTCTGGTTTGGATCACATCGTAAGACTTCAGGGTTTGGCACAGCCCAGAGGGTGCTTTTGAGTCGACTCAAAAGCAGACTTCAGGGTTTGGCACAGCCCAGAGGGTGCTTTTGAGTCGACTCAAAAGCAGACTTCAGGGTTTGGCACAGCCCAGAGGGTGCTTTTGAGTCGACTCAAAAGCAGACTTCAGGGTTTGGCACAGCCCAGAGGGTGGAGGAGGGGAGAGTAGTTTTGAGGCGCCTCAAAACTAGACTCCTATCACGCGGTTTTGAGGCGCCTCAAAACTAGGGTTTGGCACAGCCCAGAGGGTGGAAGGGGGGAGAGGAGGGAGGCAAGGGGAGGGCAGGGGAGGGAAAAAGCAGAGGGTGATTAGGACACCACCCTCGAAACCCCACAATCCTACTTACACCTTCTCTCTCAAACCCGTAGTCCCATTTCATTTCCCATTGCACCAAGGTACTTACAGCTGTGGCACCATGTGGATTGTCTGCCATTGAGTTCCCCTCGTTCTCGGAACCATCCTCAACTCCACCCCGCCCGCACACCCCCCTTTATCCAGCACTCGCACCGTCATGTTCCTCGGGTAAAACCCCCTATTTACACTCGGCGGTGTAATCTCCACCGAATAAGCGTGCCCCGCTAAGAGAGTAGCCGTTATGGTACGGAAGACGGGCCGGGAGCCTTTGTAGAGCTTGGAATAGTCGTTGCGGTCACCCAAGGACACGAAGTAGGATCGGTCGGTTAGTCGGGTGAACGTGGCTGTGGAGTAGGGTCGGATGCGGTGCCTTTTGATCAGCTTCGGCGTTAGGTTCGGCACGCCATGCTCGAGGTAGGTTAGGGCGATGGCTCGGTAGCAGACGGACCTGGAGGGGTGGTGAGGAAGAGGAAACGTCGGAAAGAGAGCGGGAGGTTAAAAGCACACGCTTGTTTGCAGACGCTTGTGTGTTCTGCCGTGATTCGACACTTAAGAACAAGTCAAGTCAACACTGGATGCTCGTCTGCAGACGGACCTGAAGGGATGTTGAGGAGGAAGAGGAAACGAGGTGACTTTTGAGTCGACTCAAAGGAAGCGGAGGACCACAGAACTGACTTTTGAGTCAACTCAAAGGAAGCGGAGGACCACAGAACTGACTTTTGAGTCGACTCAAAGGAAGCGGAGGACCACAGAACTGACTTTTGAGTCGACTCAAAGGAAGCAGAGGACCACAGAACTGACTTTTGAATCGACTCAAAGGAAGCGGAGGACCACAGAACTGACTTTTGAGTCGACTCAAAAGGAGGAAGAGGAAACGTGGGAAAGAGAGCGAGAGGGTAAAAGCACACGTGTAAAGTTCATGTTGCTTGTCTGCTCTGCTGTGATTCGACACTTAAGAAAGAACGAGTCAAGTCGACACTTGATATACTCCAAATTTGGCCGACTTATATGAAAAAATATACCAGAACAGGAAATCTGCCACACTTGCGGCCATAAGAGAAAAAGGAGGCTGCACACGGGAGACCCAGGTTCGGAAAGCACGAACCAAGTTGGTTCTTGAGAATTCTCAAAAAACAGGTTCGGAAAGCACAAACCTGCACGAGTAGAGGGACCATGTGTCGTGGTACTGGCAGAGGGAGGTTCGGACCGAGGCTGGCGGCAGGATCGGGTGGAACGGAGCTACGAGGTAGGCTGGGGAGGCGGCGCCCGGGAAGGTCGGGGAGGAAGAGGAGAGGAAGGAGCCATCTGCGTCGTGCAGCGCATAGAAACGAGCATTGGCGCCGCCTCTTGGGACCGGGCGGTGGGGCTGAGAAAAAGGGGCCAAAGGGGAGGAAGGGGAGGAAGGGGAGGGAGGGGAGGGAGGGGAGGGAGGGGAGGGAGGGGAGGGAGGGGAGGGAGGGGAGGGAACAATGGGAAAACAGCGGGGAGGAGAGGAAGGAGCCATCGGCGTCGTGCAGCAAGTAGAAACGAGCGTTGGAACCACCCCTGGGGACAGGGCGGTGGGGCTGAGATAGAGGGGCCAAAGGGGAGAAAGGGGAGGAAGGGGAGGGAGGGGAGGGAGGGGGAAGGGGAGGGAGGGGAGGGAACAATGGGAAAACAGCGAGGAGGAGAGGAAGGAGCCATCGGCGTCGTGCAGCGTGTAGAAACGAGCGTTGGGACCACCCCTGGGGACAGGGCGGTGGGGCTGGCCAAAGGGGAGGAAGGGGAGGAAGGCGAGGAAGGGAGGGAGGGGAGGGAGAGGAGGGAGGGGAGGAAGGGAGGGGAGGGAGGAAAGCAGCCCGCTCAGCGAGGCGTGCGCACCGTCGGCCCCTTCTCCCTCCGTTTCTGAGGGATGGGAAAACAGAGAGGAGGAGAGGAAGGAGCCATCAGCGCCATGAAGTGCGTAGAAACGCATGTTGGATCCCCCTCGAAGGACAGGACAGCTGGGCTCGGAAAAACAGGAAGTGAGTGGAACAAGGAGGTCGAGTAGGCAGAGGAACGATCTAGGAGCGGGTAGTTGACTATTGAGTCGGCTAAAAAACGAAGGTGCGTGACATTAAACCGAGGCGACATTTGAGTCGACTCAAAAGCAAAAGTGCGGGACAGTAAACCGAGGTGATTTTTGAGTCGACTCAAATGTCACCTAGGAAGTGAGTGGAACAAGGAGGTCGAGTTGGCAGGGGAACGATTAGGAGTGAGCTGTCGCCCGATTGTGGGAGTGGGCGCACGTAACGAGTTTATTCTTGAGGCGGTGTTAGGTTTTTTTGGATTCTAAAGAACCGAACATAGCAGTGCACGTGAGGGGTCTATTTTTTAGGTGCCTCAAAATAGACTCCTCACAGCGAGCAGGTGCCCATCTGCGGAAACTGATAGATCATCAAATCAATAGCAGCACACACTGTCTGTGAAAAATCACAGCATCTTCCAAAAATAGACTCCTCACAGCTAGCAGTTGCCATCACCGCACAAACTAAAAAAGCACAGCATCTTCCCAAAACAACGGAAATTTCTAAAAATAGCGGCAGAATCTAAAAAAAGCAGCAGATTCTAAAAAAAAAACAGCAGATTCTAAGAAAAGCAGCAGGTAAAAAAAGCAGCAGATTCTAAAAATAGCAGCGCCTACCGCATTCGGAACGGCGTAGAGGCGCCTGGTGGTAGTCGTGAAGCGAAGGCCCTGCGGGTGCATGGCGAATTGAGGACGTGGGGAATGGTACGGGATGTATGAGAGGATGGAAAGTCATTTTGAGGCGCCTGGTAGCAGTTGTGAATCGAAGGCCCTGCAGGTGCATGGTGGGGCGGATGGTACGGGATGCATGAGAGGATGGAAAGTCATTTTGAGGCGCCTGGTAGCACCGAAGGCCCTGCGGATGGAAGGTGGGGCGGATGTGGGAAATGGCAGGGGATGCTCTGCACGGAAAGAGGAAGAGGGCGCAGGGGCCCACAAAAGCGGTGAAGAACGGCACAGAGGCGCCTGGTGGCAGCTGAGACGCGAAGGCCATAGAGATGCATGGTGAGGGGGGAGGACGTGGGGAAAGGTAGGGGACGCATGAGAGGATGGGGAGAGGCACACGGGGCCCACGGAAAGAGGTGAAGAACAGCAAAGAGACGCCATCTGAGACGCGAAGGCCCTGGAGATGGATGGTGAGGAGGGGAGGGCGGGTGGATGGGGTGAAGCGTGGTCGGATGCATGGAGCGAAGGGAAAAGGGACAAGATGGAAAATGAGCACCATCAATTTTTGCCCTACGTTTTCAAGAGATTTTTCAGAGCAAGAATTTTTCTCTTAACAAAGTGTTCTACAAGCCCGCTGCCACGTATGGCTAAAACCACCACCAAGTGGTGTTTTCTAAGGGAAAAGGGACAAGATGGAAAATGAGCACAAGGATAGAGAGATGCAGAAACGGCAAGCGATAGGGGGAGCAAAGGGGTAGGGGGGAGCAGGGGGGAAGAGGAGCAAGGTTACAGTGTTTACTGGGTGCAAAATCAACCCCATATATCACTCCACTCTCACCCTCACGCTCATTGCTGGGTTCCAGAACCCCCCTGCCTGGTTCACTGCCAGCAGCACTCTGGCTGAGCTCTTGAGCGTGGGGGCGCATACACACACTTGTATAGTATTCATGCAACCACTTTTGAGGCGCCTCAAAAGCCGCATACACACACTTGTATAATATTTTATGCAATCATCCCACCCTCTGTCACACGCACTCACGCACACACCCTCACCCTCACCTTCACGCTCATTGCTGGGTTCCAGAACCCCCCTGCCTTATTGACTGCCGGCACAATAGCAGGGCGTTTTTGAGAATTCTCAAAAACACCCTGCAAGCTCTTGCTTGTGTGGCCACACAAATCACTCTTGCCATGTACACGCACACACACTCACCCTCACTCTCCCACCCTCCACGCACTCTCACCTTGACACTCATTCCTCCTCACTCTCACCTGCACGCTCATTGCTGGGTTCCAGAACCCCCCTGCCTTATTGACTGCCGGCACAATAGCAGGGCGTTTTTGAGAATTCTCAAAAACACCCTGCAAGCTCTTGCTTGTGTGGCCACACAAATCACTCTTGCCATGTACACGCACACACACTCACCTTCACTCTCCCACCCTCCACGCACTCTCACCTTGACACTCATTCCTCCTCACTCTCACCTGCACGCTCATTGCTGGGTTCCAGAACCCCCCTGCCTTGTTCACTGCCAGCACAATAGCTGAGCTCTTCAGCGTCGGCCCGCACTCCCCAAAGCCAGAAAACCTGACGTTGGGAATGAGACGGAAGAGGGGAAATGAAGGGGGAGTGGAGAGAAAACCTGACGTTGGGAATGAGACGGAAAAGGGGAAAAGAAGGGGGAGTGGAGAGAAAACCTGACGTTGGGAATGAGACGGAAGAGGAGGGAAGAAGGGAAGGGTAGAGGCAACAGGAGGGCCGTTCAGTTTGAAAATCGTTTCTCTGGAATCAATTTCGAAAAGCTTCCCTGTGTAAAATCCCCACCCCTTTTTCCCATGCATCCCATTCACTTTCTCCCCAGCTGTTGACCACTTGGTTAGCGTCCAGCACGCCACTCACTCAGCTTCACTTTGCCATGTTTCCCTCTCCCTCGTCTCCCCCCCACCCCCCCTTCCCACACCTGCTGGTGGCCACTCGGTTCGCTTCCAGCTTGCCACTCTCAGCTTCTCTTGGCCTCGTGCCGTGGCTACTAGCTCGCAACATGATCCCAATCCCCTACCCCCCACTCTCCCTCACCTGCTGTTGATCGGTTCGCCTCCAGCATGCCACTGAGCTTCACTTGGCTCGGCATCACGCCAATGGGGCTCTTGAACGTGCCTTTCTTAGTGCCATCCCGATAGCCCCCCTTCTTCCCCCCAAACCCCCCTTGTTTCTCATCCCCCTTTCCCTCACTTGCTGTTGACCACTCTGTTCGCCTCAAGCATGCCACTGAGCCTCACTTGGCTCGGCATCACACCTATGGGGCTCTTGAACGTGCCTATCTTAGGGCCATCCCAACCCAATAGGCCCCCCGCTTCCGGCCCCACCCCTGCCTCTTTCCCCCCACACCCCCTCCCCCCCCCCTCTTCACCCCCTTCCTTTCTCTCACCTTCTGTTGACCACTCTGTTCGCTTCCAGCATTCCACTGAGCTTCACTTGACTCAGCATCACCCCAATGGGGCTCAAACTTCTCCCAACCCTCCCCCCCCCTTAACCCCGCGCTTCCCCCTTCCTCCCTTTGTCCCTCACCTGCTGTTGACCACTCTATTCGCCTCCAGCATCCCGCTGAGCTTCACTTGGCTCAGCATCACGCCTATGGGGCTCTTGAACGTGCCGCCATCGCGCGAATAGAAGAAACCTGCCGCCACACGCTCCCGCATCTTCATCACTGCTGCTTGTTTCACTGCGTCTTCCTCATCCTCGTTATAAGCCAGCACATCCCCATTTCCGGCAATGCTTTCAGCCGCCACACGCCCCCGCATCTTCATCGCTGCTGCTTGTTCCTCTGCTTCTGTCATCACACCCTTCCCAGTGGATCCATCCTCTCCGTCCTCTGCATCCTCTTCATCATCATACCCATCGTCCTCCTCCTCCTCTTCATCCTCATCTCCATACTCATTATAAGCCGACGCCATGTAATCCCTATACGCCCTGTTCTCAGCCGCCATGCGACCCCGCACCTCCATCGCTACTGTCCGCCCCACTTCCTCCTCAGGGCGTTCAATTTCACCCGCATCCTCGTTATAAACTGATCCGTCCATCCCTCCCTTCGCTCTCCTCCTCCTCCTCCACCCCCACTTCCCTCCCCTCCCCAAAACCCCTTCAGTAGCAGCTTCAGCTACCTCACTATAGTCATCATCCATAGTGTACTCTGGCGCTGTTAGCATTAAACCTGGCGATTGCCAGTCCGATGTAGTGTACCCCTGCAATTCATCCTCGTTAGTGGCATCTTCAACGTGCACGCCGGCACTGTAGACGTTATTTTCCCCATATTCGTTAGGAAGAATCATTGCCTGAGCGTTGTTGGTGGAGTTAGGGGCTACACTAGTAGGGGCTACACTACTAGGGGCTACACTACTACTGGCTACACTACTAGGGGCTACACTACTAGGGGATTCGCTATTAGCAGCTGAATCGAGGGGTTTCCAGGATGAAATTGACCATCGTGTCGCTCCTCTTGATGCTGCTGCTGCAAAAGCTTCTTGTGCCGATGCTTGTGCTGGTTGTTGTGTTGATACTTGTGTTGATGCGGCATAAGAGGATGCTGCTCTAGGTGAATTGCTGTTGTTGCTGTTGACAAGACGAGAATATAGAAGGGGAGGGGGTGACGAGGGCAAAGGGAAGGGAGACAAAAGGTAAGGAAGGGCGATTGAGAGGACGAAAAAAGGAGCGGAAGAGAGGAGAGGGAGAGTCTGTTTTTGAGTCGACTAAAAAACAGACACATTCCATAAGGAAGGGCGATTGAGAGGAAGAAAAAGGAACAGAAGAGAGGAGAGGGGGAGGAAGGGAAGAGAAGGGAGGGCAAAGAAGGCAGCATTCAATCTCAAGGCCCAACTTAGTTTTGAGGCGCCTCAAAATCGCGTGATAGGAGTCTAGTTTTGAGGCGCCTCAAAATGAGAGGAAGAAAAAGGAACAGAAGAGAGGAGAGGGGGAGGAAGGGAAGAGAAGGAAGGGCAAAGAAGGCAGCATCCAATCTCAAGGCCCAACTTACCTTTTCTTTTCTTTCTGACAGATGCTCTCGGAAAGCAATGGTGAGAGCACATTCATGCTTCACGTTATTCCCAGACACGAATGCTGCGGAAGCAAGCAATCACATCATTGCAACAGAGATATGTGAAAATTCTACACCTGCCCTGCCGATGCCACCTGCTGTCCAAACTTCTACACCTGCCCTGCTGATGGTACCTGCAGGCAATGCGGCTGATGAAGGCGCAGCCGTGAAACACCACAAACCTTACCTGCACAGCTACAGTGATGGTCCCGATGGTCACTGTACCTGCAGGTTGTGCCTCCTCACCTGCAGGCGGTGCGGCCGATGAAGGTGCAGCCGAGGATGAGCATCCCAAAGTTGCGGTTCAAGTCGACAGCGATGCGGTTGTTGAGAAAGGTGGAGCGCGAGACAGTGATGCTCTGGCTGTTGTAAAAGAACATGCTGCTCAGGGGGGGAGGGTGGGTGGCAGGTGGAGGAGAAATGAGTGTCAGAGAGGCTATCCACTGCAGGGGGTGGAGGGGGAGACTATTTTTTAGGCGCCTAAAAAATAGACTCCTCACGGGTGGAGGGCGAGAGGGGGAAAGGTGGAGGAAAAATGAGCGTGAGAGAGGCCAGTCGACGGCAATGCGGTTGTTGAGGAAGGTGGAGCGCGAGACAGTGATGCTCTGGCTGTTGTAGAAGAGCATGCTGCAAAAAAGGAGCGGGGGGGAGGGGGAGGGGGGAAGAAGGGGAGGAGGAGGAGAGGAAGTAAATCTGGGATGTAAGAAAGAGATGGATTCTGTTCGAGAAAGGTGGGTTTTGAGAATTCTCCAAAACACCCTGCAGAAGACTGGTTGAGGAAAGGTGGAGCGAGAGACAGTGAGGCTCTGGCTGTTGTAGAAGAACATGCTGCGGGGGAAGGGGGGGAGGAAGGGATGTCGATAGGGGAAAGGAGAAAGAGAAGGAGTCTGGTTGTTGAGGAAAGGTGGAGTGGGAGGCAGTGATGCTCTGGCTGTTGTAAAAGAATAATGCGGGGGAAGGTGGGGGTGGGGGGGGGGTGGGGGGGTAAAAAAGGGATGGAGTATGGTGGGGGGGGGGGGGGGGTAAAAAAGGGATGGGGTATGGTGGGGGGGGGTGGGGGGGGAAGGGATGGAGTATGGTGGGGGGGGGGGGGTAAAAAAGGGATGGAGTATGATGGGGGCGGGGGGGGGGGGGTGTGGAAGGAAAGGAAGGGAAAAGGAGATAAGAGATTAGGGTTGGGTGAAAGGTGGTTAGTTGTTCAGAAACACTAGAAAGTTTTGGGTTTGTCTAGCAGGAAAGCAAGATTCAAGAGCAGCAATAACAACAGGAGCAGAAGCACCACCAACAGCAGCAGCAGCAGCAGCAGTAGCAGCAGCAGCATCACCACCACCAATAGCAGCAGCACCAACAGCAGCAGCAGCAGCAGCAGCAGCAGCAGCAGCAGCAGCCGCAACAGCAGCAGCAACAGCACCAACAGCAGCAGAAGCAGCAGCCGCAACAGCTGTAGCACTCACCCAATAGGGTTGCCATAGATTAGGAAATGAGACATGTGCACCTGAAGGTGAGAGGGGGGGGGAGAAGGGGGTAGGGGAGGGAGGTACGGGGGAGAGGGGTGAGTGGGGGGGAGAGGGAAGAATGGAAGAATGGGGGAGAGGAGAGGTTGGGGGGAGGGAGAGGGAAGAATGGGGAAGAGGGGTGAGTGGGGAGTGGGGGCAATGGAGGAGAGGGGTGAGTGGGGGAGAGGAGAGAGTGGGGGAGAGGAGAGAGTGGGGGAGAGGAGAGAGTGGGGGAGAGGAGAGAGTGGGGGAGAGGAGAGAGTGGGGGAGAGGAGAGAGTGGGGGAGAGGAGAGAGTGGGGGAGAGGAGAGAGTGGGGGAGAGGAGAGAGTGGGGGAGAGGAGAAAGTGGGGGAGAGGAGAGAGTGGGGGGAGGAGAGAGTGGGGAGAGGAGAGAGTGGGGGAGAGGAGAGAGTGGGGGAGAGGAGAGAGTGGGGGAGAGGAGAGAGTGGGGGAGAGGGGAGAGTGGGGGAGAGGAGAGAGTGGGGGAGAGGAGAGAGTGGGGGGAGGAGAGTGTGGGGGAGAGGAGAGAGTGGGGGAGAGGAGAGAGTGGGGAGAGGAGAGAGTGGGGGAGAGGAGAGAGTGGGGAGAGGAGAGAGTGGGGGAGAGGAGAGAGTGGGGGAGAGGAGAGAGTGGGGGAGAGGGGGTAATGGAGTTAAAGCACAGACAGGCAGGTCTACGATACAAGAGGGGTGTTGACTGGCATTGACTTGTGCATTGAATGGCGTTGACTTGTGCATTGGCCAGCGTTGACTTGTGCGTTGGCTTTCGTTGACTTGGCATTGACTTAGCATTGACTGGCATTGACTGGCATTGACTGGCATTGACTGGCATTGACTGGCACTGACGAACATTGCCTCACTTGCACTGCCTTCCTGCCCTTCCCTTTCAAGGGGAACATCGGCCAGGCACCATGGGTAAACGTGCGGAGGCCAAAGAGGGCGTTGGAGTGGATCACATGGCCCCATGCACTGACTAGCGTTGACTGGCGTTGACCCGGGTTGACTTACTTGCACTGCCTTCCTGCCCTTCCCTTTCAAGGGGAACATCGGCCGGGCGCCATGCGGGTAGGTGCGGAGGCCAAAGAGGGCGTTGGAGTGAATCACGTTGCCTTGAAACAGCCCAAAGGCGAGAGTCACAGGGGAAAGATTCTGGTAGAAGGGAAGCAGCTTGGACAGCCCCCTCATGTGCTTGTTCATCTCGAGCCAGAAGCTGACAGGAAGGGGGCAGTAGGAAAGAGGGGGGGGGCAGCAGGTAAGAGGGGCGGTTCGTGTAGAAGGGGGGTCGCTTGGACAGCCCCCTCATGTGCTTGTTGTTCATCTCGAGCCAGAAGCTGGGAGGGGAGGGAGGAAGGGGAGTGGGGTGGGGGCAGCAAGTAAGAGGGGAGGCCTCTGTAAGGGGGAAGCAGCTTGGACAGTCCCCCCATGGCTTGCTTGTTGAGCTCGAGCCAGAAGCTGGGAGGGGAGCGGATTGGCCAAGATGGGGGCGGCCAAAGAGGGAGTGGGAGAGAATCACGTTGCCTCGGAACAGCCCGAAGGCGAGCGTCACTGGAGGGGAGAGGTGGGGGCAACTTTTGAGTCGACTCAAAAGTCACCTTGTTACGAGGTGGAGGTAGAATGGAACGGAAAGGAACGGAAGATGCAAGGACGGAACGCCCTCTCATGTGCTTTTTCATCTCGAGCCAGAAACGTTTGCAGTGCCCTGAGTGCTTTGAGTGCCCTCTCATGTACTTTGAGGGAATCACCCGAAGGCGAGCGTCGCTGGAAGGGAGAGGTGCGGGTGGAACGCGATGGAATGGAAGACGCAAGGACAGACAGCCCTCTTATGTGCTTGCTAAGCTCGAGCCAGAATCGTTTCCCAGCATCCAATGCATACCGTGCTGTACTATGCAGTGCGCTGTGTGCTGTACAATAAAAAATGCACTCCACTCACCCCGAGTCCTCCGACCCAGCAGCCACGTTGCCGATAAAGCTGTTGAAAGGCGTGGCCAGCCAGAAAGTTGAGGGCTGCTTGTCTGTCTGGCGGTCGAACTTGGCGGGAGACTCGGGGGGGATGACGTGATGCACTGGCAGGGGGTAAGGGAATGGAAGGGGAGGAGACAAAGCAATAAGAGGGGCATTGAGAGGCATTGAGAGGCATTGAGAGGGGTGCAAAGGCGTGGTCAGCCAGAAAGTTGAGGGCTGCTTGTCCGTCCGTCTGCCGGTCGAACTTGGCTGGAGACTCGGGGGGGATCAGCCGATGCACTGGAGGGAGAGTGAGAGGGCAGGAAGAGAGAAAGCCTTGAGATGAAAGGGGCAATGAGAGGGGTGGAAAGCAGTGGGGACCCAGATTCCGATTGACTGTGTTCCTCACCTCACTGCCCTCCTGCTGCTTACACAGTGGTCAACCAACACACATGCACTACACTGCACCACATCGCACTACAATGCACCACTCACCAGCGCGTGTGTTCACTCCCAGGTTCCGATTGACCGCGTTCCTCGCCTTACTGCCCTCGTCAACTCAAGGATGACTCAGAGTGCCCCCTCGTCTCGTGAGCCCCACTAATATCACACTGCATCGTAGCACACCGTGGCTACAGTCACACTACAACATGCCAGCGCGTCTGTTCATGCCTAGGCTCTGCAGAGTTCAACACGCATGCACCACATTGCACCGCACTGCACCACACTGCACCGCACTCACCAGCGCATGTGTCCACCACCCCCAGGCTCCTCAGAAACGTGTTCCGTGCCTCACTGCCCTTATCAAGCAAGCAGTGCCCCCTGGTGTCGCCACACACACTCTCCCACACACGCATGCACCACACTGCACCACTTACCTGCGCGTGTGTCCACGCCCAGGCTCCGCAGAAACTTGTTCCTCGCCTCGCCTCACTGCCTTCCTCCAGCACAAAGCAGTGCCCCCTGGTCTCGCCACACACTTTCCCGCACGCGCATGATCACAATCACCGCACTGCACCACACTGCGCCACTCACCTGAGCGTGTGTTCTTTCCCAGGTTTCGGATGAAAGTGTTCCGCGCCTCACTGCCCTCCTCCAGCACAAAGCAGTGCCCCCTGGTCTCCCCGCACTCACTAACATCACACTGCTGCAGACTAGCAAGCCCTCACTAATCTGCAGCAACCGTCACAGTGCACCACTCACCAGCACGTGTGTTCATGCCCAGGTTGCGGATGAACGTGTTCCGCGCCTCACTCCCCTCCTCCAGCACAAAGCAGTGCCCCCTGGTCTCGTACGCGACGTTGTCCACCAGAGTTAGGCGAGAGGTGGCATGGACGACCATGCATCGCTGGAGAGGAGACGAGGGCAGGGGAGGGGGAAGGGGGGGGAGGGGGAAGGGGGGTGAGGGAGGAGGGAACAGCGTAGAGGGAATGAAGCAGAGCCCCCTGGTCATGCCCGTGGCCCCCTGGGCCCCCATGCACACGCATTGTCCACCAGAGTTAGGCGGGGGGCGTGGCATGCACCACTGTGCTGCAGGGCTGCAGAGACAGGGGATGGAGGAGGGGCGGAGGGGCGGAGGGGCGGAGGGGCGGAGGGGCGGAGGGGAGGGGATGGCAGAGAGTGCGTCATAGCAGAGCAGTGTCCTCTTGTCTAATCAGGGGCTACGGGCAGGCAACCACTATCGAGAGCGTCACTTTGCACGGGAACTCGATCGAACACAGCGCTTTAGGGGGACATGCCTGCTGCCACGGTTGCCGCCGAGCTCCTCGTTGCCGGTTACCTGCTCCACATCCTAGAGCCACCCCCCCCGGCTTTAGAGGCGCCTCAAAAGCCGTCACAGGTGCCGCCGAGCTCCTCGTTGCCGGTTACCTGTTCCACATCCTCGAGCCACCTCCACGGCGACAGTGGAGTCATTTTTTAGAATTCTCAAAAGCGTGGCCGCCGTCATGGGCGCCACCCTCGTTGCCGGTTACCTTTTCCACATCCTAGAGCCACCCCCCCCGGCTTTTGAGGCGCCTCAAAATCCGTCACGGGTGCCGTCGGGCCCCTCGTTGCCAGTTACCTGTTCCACATCCTAGAGCCACCCCCCGGCGCCCCTTAGGGCGGCCGGGAAGTAGCTAGACGCTTGCCTCACCTTTTCCCAGTACGCATACCGTACATCGATACGAAGGACCACTCAAGAGGGAACATCTGGGAGACATCTGGGAGACATCTGGGAGACATCTGGGAGACATCTGGGAGACATCTGGGAGACATCTGGGAGACCACACATGCACCCTTGTTGTGCTCTACTCGGCCACTCATGCCCCCTTGTTCCATCTGCCTCTCCTCGTGTGAGCATGAGCTGTACGCTGGTACTCTTGCCACGCAGGAGGCTCGCTGACTCTCCTTCCTCCTTAGCGAGCTTGGTCACCCGCAACTTCCCATGTTTCTTCAATGTGCGCTGCGACCACGATTAATCTCACTGGGAATCCTGTCTTTCCCACTCGCAGCAAACACATTGAGGTGCGCCAATTTTCATTCGCAAGCCGGCGCAGTGCGCCTTTCTTTGTCTTCGGAAGGTGGCATTCGATGCCAAACTTATCGACATCTTCACCAAGGTCCTCTCCTTCCTTCCTGAGCTACCTTGCACCTACATTCGCTCCCTTGATCTCTCGCGGCTCTCCACTTCTGGGGTGACCCTGTGCATTAGGTGCCCCCCTGTTCAGCGCCTCACATAGACCAAGGTTGTGTTGGAGTAGGCGACGCGACGGTTCACTCTGAAATTTTATTGGCCTTCGTTCTCGCCACCTGCCACCTGTGGCCTCTAGCCTAGCTGCCTACATCAACATTCTTCCTCTCTCAAACGGTCCTCCCTCTCCCTCCCACCTGTTTCCACTCCACAACCATGTTCTTGCAAATGAAGAATCTCCTCTTGACGTCTCCACACACATGGAAGTGCACCGGGTACCTCCCTCCCTACTAGCGTGCCTTGCTTGCCCAGCCCAGGCCCCTGCTCCCTCTCCCACCCCCGCTCCCTCTCACCTGTTTCGAATCCAGAATCACGTTCTTGCGCACAAAAAAACTCCTCCTGACGTCGCCACACATATGGAAGTGCACCGGGTACCTTCCCAGGGTGCCTTGCTTGCCCAACCCCTGGAACTGCACGCCGTGGATGACCTGAGGGGTGCGAGTCTTGTAGACCATGAAGTGACCGCCTGGGGGGAGGAGGGGCAAAAGGGGGGAGGGCCATCGAGCGTGGGACGGAGAGGGGCGCACAAGGAAGCCGCCCCAATAGCCCCCTCGCCCCTGGATCTGCACAATTTGGATGACCTGAGGGGTGCGAGTCTTGTGCACCATGAAGCGACCACATGGGGGGGAGTCAAGATGGGAGGGAGGGGAACAGAGCAGGTAAAAAACACATGCAAGTGCACTGGGTTCCTCTCCTGCTTCCCCAGCCCTTGGAACTGCACACTGTAAATGACCTCAAGGAGGGGAGTCAAGAAAGAGGGGGGGGGGGGCTATGGAACCATGCGCACGAGTCTTGTACGCCATGAAGTGACCGCCTGGGGGGGAGTCAAGATGATTTTTGAGGCGCCTCAAAAATCGAGTCATGTGCACCATGAAGTGACCGCCTGGGGGGGAGTCAATATGGGAGAATCTCCCAGGGAGATGGAGGGGAACATTATGGTGTCAGTAGCCCACCTCTTGTGAGTCAGTAGCCCCATCTCACCCTTCCGTCTCCCCTTTTCCCCCCCCACCCCAACCTCTCCCCCCCCCTCTCCCCTTCTCTCCCCCGCACTCCTCCCACTTCCTCTCCCCTTCCCAGTGCACTTCGTGCACAATCCCGTCATTCATTCTTCCATCGCTATAGCCACACGTCCTCTCACCGTCACACTGATAGGCCGACTGCTCATGCGCCCCCTGAATTACGATGCTGCGCGTCAACAGAGCCACCTCTGCTCAGATATCCACCGTTCAGAATAGTCACCCCTCACTACAGCCACCGCTCGGTATAGTCACACTCGCTTACCGTCATAGTGATAAGGCGCCTGCTCGTGCACCCAGAGCCACCAGAGCCACCTCTGCACTCTCTCGTTACCATCACGCCTCGGTAAAGTCACACCCACCACTCACCATCATATTGATAAGGCGCTTGCTCGTGCACCCCTTGAATCACGATGTTGCAAGTCAACAGATCCACCTCTGCGCTCTCTCGTTACCATCACCTCTCGGTATAGACACACCCACCCACCTACCATCATATTGATAAGGTGCCTGCTCGTGCACCCCTTGAATCACGATGTTGCGAGTCAGCAGAGCCACCTCCGCGCGAATGTCCACCGTGCCCCCAAACCCATCGTTCACTGCGTTCATATCCCCATCGTGGGAATGCTTCAGAGGGCGGTAGAGGGAGATGATGCTGGTGGACGGGCCAACCCTCCTCACTGTGGGGGGTGGGGACGAGAGGTGGAAGGGGAGGAGCGGAGGAGAGGGATGTGAAGAGGCGAGCAAGCGACTCCGAACCCGGTTTTCACTGCATGCACACCCCACCATGGGAGTGCTTAAGGGGGCGGTGGAGCGAGATGATGCTGGTGGACGGGTCACGGGCCAACCCTCCTCCCTGCGGGGGTTGAGAATACGAGGGATGAGGGGGAGGGGTAAAAGGTCTCACAACAACCCATCCTTCACAGCGTGCATGTCACCATCGCGGGAGTGCTTCAAGGAGCGGTGGAGGGTGATTACGGTGCTAGATGGGCCAACCCTCCTCGCTGCGGTAAGTGAGGGAGTAAGGAGCCACCTCTGCTCGGATCGGATATCCGCCATGCCCCCAAACCCATCATTCACAGCGTGCATATCGCCAACGTGGGAGGGGGTTCACAGTGCTTCAGGGGGGGGTAGAGGGAGATGATGCTAGTGCTTCATGGTTAACCCTGCTTCAGGGGGGGGTAGAGGGAGATGATGCTAGTGCTTCATGGTTAACCCTGCTTCAGGGGGGGTAGAGGGAGATGATGCTAGTGGATGGACCACTGCGCCTTCCTCACTGCGCGGGGGCCGCGGGGGGAGAGGGGAGACGAGTGGATTTGAAAGGGAGCAGGACACTGGAGGGGAGAAAGTGAGGACGCTCCCGTGGAGCGCTTCAACTCCCACTCCAGTGGAGGGAAATCCGTGTGTACTGAAGGTGGACAAGCCAACCCCTCCACTGTGCAGAGTGGGAAGAGGGAAAGGGAAGGGGAGAGGGGGGGGAAGGGGGGAAGGGGTGAGGGAGATTTGGATGGGAAAAGCGGGGCAGGGTGTTCTCCCAGAGTCGTCATTCACTGCGTGCATGTCCCCACTGTGGAAGTGCTTCAAGGGGCGTGGTTTAAAAGGGCGTGCTTCACAAGGGAGTGCTCCAAAAGGGAGTGCTCCAAAAGAGAGTGCTCCAAAAGGAAGTGCTTCAAAAGAGAGTGCTTCAAAGGGCGTGCTCCAAGGGGCATGGTTCAAAGGGCGGTGTCGGGATATGATGCTGGTGGCTGGAGAGGACTTCTGAGATTCTTGGTAGGGGATTTTTTACATTATGTAAATCTGGTATGTACACTTGCCGCCCACCCACCTCCAGTAATGATTGCCTTTTCGGCGTTATTCAGGTCTGGCGTCGTGCTGGCAACAGCAATAACCCCCCCTCTGGGCCATCCGCTGACGTCAGCGTCTACAGTGATCTGCCGCGCGCCCTTATTGGCCCACCGCGCCAGGCGCACCCAGGCTGGCGTGCTGGCGCCACCTGGCATGCCGTGGAAATCCACCTGACCGCCCACCTGAGAGCAACAGAGTGGGGGAAAGGGGTGGGACGGGGGCATTCAAGACATGGCATGTAGCCAAATAAAAAAGCGGGGGGGGGTGACGGACTGAGGGAATGGGACTAGGAAGGACTGGGGGGACAGGGAAGGGGGGGAGGGGGGGGGGGGGGGGGGGGGTGGGTTTGGTATGCTAGGTAGGCTTTTGAGTCGACTCAAAAGGTATGCTAGTCAAGCTTTCGCCCATTGCAGAAAATTCCCCACCGCTGCCTGGATCCACCTGATGGCCTACCTGGGAGCAACAGAGGGAATGGGGACGAGGGGAAAGGGAACAGAGGGGAGGAGTGAGAGAGGAGAGGGAGAGCAGAGGGACAGCACCAGAGAGGGGAGAAGGGAGGTTAAGGGCGCAGCGGGAAAGGAGTGGGCCGCGGGTGAGGGAACGGAGGAAAAGGAGAAATGGATAGGGAGCAGCAGCAGCGCACATCTTGGTTAGGAGCGCAGGATCAGCCATGGCAAACAAGAGGGTCAGCAGCAGCAGCGGCGGCGGCAGCAGCAGTGCACTCACCACAGCAAACGCTTTGTGCCCAAGGTTGCGAGGGTGTGCAGGATCGGCCGGAGCTGGCCGCTGAAGCAAGAAGTCGGACCGGCCAAACCTGAGGTTTGGAAGAGTGCGGGGGGTTTCATTTCATGCAGCCACAAGAGTCCACGGGAGATGGAAAATTAGCCGCACACCAGAAACACGAATCCATAACAAGCTATAACAAGAAAAGCAATAACTGGAAGGAACATTTATCATGCTTCCTTCCGCACTTGAAGCAGGAAAGGGGAAATTTACGGCCAGCAGGTATGATAGACGAAATGAAATAGAGGCTCGGCCAAACCTGAGGTTCGGGAGGAGGGTGAAGGTGGCTCGGGAGCGGAAGTGGTGCGTCTCTGTTCCAACGGACAAGCGACCGTGCACTATAATGAACCGGGCTTGGACGCTTATAGAGGGTACAAAGGGGTTGTCCAGCAACCTGGTGCCAACGTGTACAGGAAAGAGAAAGCACCACGGTGCAGGATTATGAGCGGAGAGCATTTCTTTAGGAGCTGGGAGAATATAAATTGGATTGTAGTGCAAGCATAATCCTGCACCCAAGAAAAATAACATATTGTGCATGCAAGCATATCCTGTACGATACAATACAAAATGGCATTACCACAACATTGTACAGATAATGTAAATGTAATGTAATGTACTGTAGTGCCTACTGCCCACCTCAGCCAGCCGTTTACAATAAGCAATCCCAGGCTGACACGTGGCACATCCAGAAGCACAGCCCTGCCACATGGGATCGTCACATTGGCCCCCACGCTCGCCCCGATTCCGGGAACCTTCCCCCCCATGAACGCCCACGTGGCTGGTCGGCTCCAGAGCTGCCAGGCTGGCAAAAAAGAAGGTTTGGGGGGGGAGGGGGAGGAGGGGGGAGGGGGGGGGGGGGTTGGGGGGGGGAGAGGAGAAGGGAGGGCGGGGAGGAGGGGGGTGTAGGGGGGAAGGGATGGTTGGAGGAAGGGGAAGAGGTTGGAAGTTGAATCTTCCCCCCCCCAAGAACGGCCACGTGGCTGGTCGGCTCCAGAGTTGCCAGGCTGGAAAAAAAGAAAGGTTATGAAGGGGGGGAGGAGGGGGGGTGTAGGCGGGGAGAGGAGGGTATTGGGGGCAGTGGCCAGCAAGGGGGGCAAGGGGAAGGGGGAAGCGACGGTGGGGGGAAGGGGGACCCTTCCTCTATGCCAGGCTGGGTGGGTGTGGAGGAAGGGGAGAGAGGCGGGGATAAATCGTGCTGAGGAGGAGGCTAGCGGGGAGAGGAGGGGGGGGGAGGAGGAGGGGGGGGGGGGGGGGGGGGGGGGGAGGAGAGAGGGGAGTGGGGGTTGGGGGGGCGTGTTTGAGAGGTCTCAAACGCCCACTAGTACAGGCGGTAGGCTTTTGAGTCGACTTAGAAACTAGTACAGGCGGCAGGCTTTTGAGTCGACTTAAAAACTAGTACAGGCGGTAGGCTACTTACTATAAGGTAGCAGTCCGCAGGCCGGCTGGCGCGAGTCGAGAACGCTGATAGTAAAAGGGCGCTTGCGAGGTCTAGAGGGAAGTTAGAGAGTCACGCGGGCAGGCGGGTTACGCCCCTTTTATGCTCCTCATTTGTGAGGCGCCTCAAAAGGGTTACGCCCCTTTTATGCTCCTCATTCCGCGGCGGTCCGCGCGCCGGCTGGCGCCAGTCGAGAACGCCGATAAACGGGTGCTTGCGAGGCCTAGAGGGCCGACCGTTTTGTGTCGACGCGAAAGGGAGAGAGGCGGGGAAAAAAGAGTCGAGAGTGCTTATAAAGGGGTCCTTCTGAGGTCTGGAGGGCCGAACTGAACAGGTATACTACGCACCTCTCGGCTCTTTATTCGGCAGGGGTCCGCAAGCCGGCCGGTACGAGTCGAGCACGCTGTCACGTGCCGCGTCCGCTCTAAGAACGGCGTCGAGGCGCGCCCCAGGGAAGCCGAGCGATAGCAGAGCGACAAGCAGCAGCGGCAGAGCGGGAGGCATCGTAAGCCTGCTACTAGGTGGGAGTGGACGTGCCACCATGGCGTCGCGTAAGGGTTAGCGTAACGCGCGACGTCGAGACTCGTGCTGCGACGGATGTGAAGCGAGGCGAAGCGAAGCGCGAAACGGCGGCGATATCAGCGAGTGACAAGGGGTGTAAACAACATGCTGCCCTTATGGGCCGACTCAGGCGTCGCCCACCCACGCGACGCGTTAAGAAAACACCCGTTTAAGTACAACGGTCTGAACGGTCAAGCTTATAAGTACAACGGTCAGAACGCTCAAGCCTGCACTAAGTACAACGGTCTGAACGTGACCTGGTTACGAAAAACTGTGCTGGAGCTGCCACGTCAGCGTCAAAGATTAACGCAACTCTTCGCCGGAACCGGCACTGATCGGCCGGATGTACTGCATTATCAGGGTGACATCATCTCGTCTCGGGAACGCGACGCGCCATTTGGAGCTATATTACTGGTCAGTGAAACAACGAGCCTCAAACGAGCTTCCTAGCCAACGGTAATGTCCTCTCCTTTCGGCGATACTTCGGCTCGAGCGGAAGGCCAATGTTTTCTGCAGCGCTGACAGCGGGAAAATACCTGCTGAATCGCTGTACGGTTTTCTAAAGCGCTATGTTTACCTCGGTTCCTGAAATGGTATGCCGTGACCCACCGCTGTTCGTAGTCGCGAAAGCTATTAGCTGCCTATGCGACTTCACACAGACCAACTTTTATGCGACCTCACCCCTGCTGCTATTATTTCCCTTCCCCCAACGAATCTTTCCCAACCAATAGCATGCGGAGGTAACCGGGTAGCCAGCGCGTGACATCGCCACATCCACCACCCTGGCTCCGTGCGTCTCGTTTGCCTACGGGAGCAGGTCGTGGCTGGCGCCAAGTCGCCTCCGCTGCTGGTTGGCTGGCGGCTGCGCGAAACAGCCACTGCTTGCGACGATATTGCTGGATCCGCTGTAGGATGCAGGAACGAATTTAACACTTAAGACAAACACAGCTTTAGAAAGAGGCGCTGCAAATTTGCCCGTCCTTTTCTCTTATGGAAATTGAAGAGGGCAATGTGAACGACAAAAATAAAATTTAGTGATGCTATAATCAAAAGGCGAAACTATGGAGACCTAATAGGGTTTGAGCTTTAAAGTGCCTTCAGCTCAAAAGCGGCTGCTGAGTCGATGATCCAGTTATGTGTCACACTTGCACGAGCCCCAACCTCCTCCTCCAACTCCATTGCAGCGTCCCTCCGCTTCTCAACCAACGCCAGTTCTCTCCGCATCTTACCAGACCCAACAACAGTATTCGCAGGCACGTCTGCATAAACCACCAAAAGAACCTTCTTCCCCCCGTGCCCCAAGGGGACCCGCTGATCACCCTCATACCCCCCTTTGTCGTCATTCTTCCCTTGTTCCTTTCCTCTCTCCTCAGTCTTTGAGGCTTTGGTACGGGTGTCACCAGCAGCGGTGGTGTTGCTGATGCTAGGGGAGAAGCATGCTAGAAGGTTCTTGGCAGTGGGTGATTGGAGGACACTGCTTGGGATGACCGTGCCGCCGCCAGTCTGGGGAGGATGGGGTGCGGGGAATATGTTTAGGTGTAAGTTGTTTTGGATAAAAATGTTTCGAAACACGATGTGAAGGAACATACGAGAGTGCTGCAGGAAAGAGGGGTGTGGCTTAACTCTGAGACTCCACATTGGGGGAGATTTTTAGAATTCTCAATAGGCTCCACATTAAGGGAGTGGAGTGCCGCCATGGAGTTGAAAGCTATTTTGACAGACACCATTGAAGAATGCTGAGGCTGGTTGTAGCGGATCCTACCTGAAGGATGCTCGCCACGTCAGCAAAGGAAGGGCTGAGGAAGCCGCCTTCCAGGAAAACTGCAGTGATATTGCCAAAGAGAGCCGGAGGTGCGGGGAAACCCTTGGCGATTGGCTGACGTGGAAAGGGTGGGGAGAGGGGAGAGGGTGGAGAAACCAGAATGGATGATGTTGGGATGAAAAGAAATGTACGAGATGACTTTTGAGTCGACTCAAAAGAAATGTACGGAGTCGGGTGTTGCGGTGTAATGAAAATGCTAGTACTGCTGTGGTATGGCTACATGGGCCCAGCGCATAGAGCTGCCTGCTGCGTGCAGCCCCTCTGTCTCGTCATGCAAGTGAAAGGCAATGCTACAGCCATGCTTGAGCCACGCTACGGCCATGCTACAGCCACGCTACAGCCGCACTACAGCCGTGTACTACAGCAGTGCACCCACCGCATAGTGCAGCCTGCCGCGTGCAGCGCCCCCTGCCTCATCGTGCGAGTCACACGCCACCTCGAATGGCCCCTCAGGGCTCAGGGCGTCTGGGTTGGGGGAGGAGGGTAACCCTGGTTATGGGGGGGTTGGGAATACAGAGGGCGGATGAGGGAGGGAGGGATAGCAGGAGGCAGGGAGTCCGTGCCTGACTCATTGTGCTAGTCACACTCCACCTCGCATGGCCCCTCGGGGGTCAGGGAGGCGGGGGAGTGAATGAGGGGGAAATGAGGAGGGAAGGAGGGGGGGGAGTCCGCGCCTGCCTCATCGTGCAAGTCACACGCCACCTCGAATGGCCCCTCGGGACTCAGGGCGTCCGGGGTGGGGGAGGAGGGTAGCCCTGACGTGAGGGCAAGAGTGAGAGGGCAAGAGTGAGAGAGCAAGAGTGAGAGGGCAAGAGTGAGAGGGCAAGATTGAGAGGGCAAGAGTGAGAGGGCAAGAGTGAGAGGGCAAGAGTGAGAGGGCAAGAGTGAGAGGGCAAGAGTGAGAGGGCAAGAGTGAGGGCAAGAGTGAGAGGGCAGGAGTGAGAGGGCAAGAGTGAGAGGGCAAGAGTAAGAGGGCAAGAGTGAGAGGGAAAGAGTGAGAGGGAAAGAGTGAGAGGGAAAGAGTGAGAGGGAAAGAGTGAGAGGGCAAGAGTGAGGGCAAGAGTGAGAGGGCAAGAGTGAGAGGGCAAGAGTGAGAGGGCAAGAGTGAGAGGGCAAGAGTGAGAGGGCAAGAGTGAGAGGGCAAGAGTGAGAGGGCAAGAGTGAGAGGGCAAGAGTGAGAGGGCATGAGAGAGATGGAAAATGCGGCCAATGATGGAGACGAGGGAAGGGGGAGGAGGGCAGCGGAGCATGGGGCGTCGTGTCTCATCGTGCGAGTCACGCACCAACCACCTCGAATGGTCCCTTCCAGGAAGTGAGGGCATCAGTGAGAGAGACTGTATGGGAAATGAGGAGGGAAGGAGGGGGGGAAGGCCCCCCTGTGCTGGAGGGGGGGAAGGCCCCCCTGTGCTGGAGGGGGGGAAGGCCCCCCTGTGCTGGAGGGGGGGAAGGCCCCCCTGTGCTGGAGGGGGGGAAGGCCCCCCTGTGCTGGAGGGGGGGGAGTCCGCCTGCTCAGTGTGCGTTTCACACACCAACCACCTCGAATGGCCCCTCGGGAGCCAGGAAGCCCGGGGCGGGGGAGGAGGGCAGACCTGTTAGTGGGGGGAGGAAGACAGAGGGCAGGTGAGGGAGGAGGGGAGAGCAGGAGGAGGGGGGGGTCCGCCTGCTCAGTGTGCGAGTCACGCACCAACCACCTCGAATGGCCACTTGGGAGCCAGGGAGTCCGTGTTGGGGTCCGTGGTGGGGGAGGAGGGGGACCTCGGGGGGGGAGGAGGGGGGGGAGGAGGGGGGGAGGATGGGGGGGAGGAGGGGGGGGGAGGAGTGGGGGGAGGAGGGGGGGGAGGAGGGGGGGGAGGAGGTGGGGGAGGAGGGGGGGAGGAGGGGGGAGGAGTGGGGGGAGGAGGGGGGAGGAGTGGGGGGAGGAGGGGGGGGAGGAGGGGGTGGAGGAGGGGGGGGAGGAGGTGGGGGAGGAGGGGGGGGAGGAGGTGGGGGAGGAGGGGGGGGAGGAGGTGGGGGAGGAGGTGGGGGAGGAGGCGGGGGAGGAGGTGGGGGAGGAGGTGGGGAGGAGGGGGGGAGGAGGTGGGGGAGGAGGGGGGGAGGAGGTGGGGGAGGCAGGGGGGGAGGAGGTGGGGGAGGAGATGGGGGAGGAGGTGGGGGAGGAGGCGGGGGAGGAGGTGGGGGAGGAGGCGGGGGAGAGGGAAGGGGCCTGGCAGAAAGAGGCTGGAAGAGGCTGCCCGAGATCAGGAGCGCATGCACTGCATTAGGCAGCGATGAGTCCAGATTAGGCCGCGCACTCTTAGTAGAGGTACCGCCACTAAGAGCAATACTTACGCTTGCTGCTGAGCAAAACACTTACACTTGCTGCTGAGCACCCACTGCCCATGGAGTATGGCCATCACCATCTTAAGCGTCCTTCGCGCCTTCCCCTCAGAATCCGTGCCGACCAATAGGTGGGTGACACGTGGACTCCAGTCTGACGTCAGCTGTGCGCCAATGGCGTCAGCAAACTTAGCCAGGCGGGACTATGGGAGAGGAATTGGGGAGTGGGCAGTGGGAGGGAGAGAAAGGGTTTAGTTGGATTCTGGGATCTCCAAGGGCCAAGGAGGCGCTACAGCAGTAGATATCTACTGTACATACAGGTGAAGCATTGCACGAGGCATATAGGCACATTCACTTGCAGTCACATTTTGGTCTGACCTTGGATGCTGAATTAAGCGCTGAGCCGCATAGAACCCACTGGCTGCACAGCGACATGCACAGGGGGGGAGGAGGAGGGGGAGAAGGGAGAAAAGGGGAGGGGAGAGTGGTGATTAGTATGTTTGGAAGAAAGCCAAGTAGGGAAGCTTGCGCGTACAGTTCATGCTTCCTCAATGGTGTAGTTTAAGAAGAGCGGCACTGTTTGTGTTTCATAGCATTCCGGATTCTCATGCATGCGCGTTGCCACCATACCATATCCATGGAGGCACATGCATCCGCATACCTCCATGCCATGTGTCATCATGCCATTAGCACATCACTCCATCCCCTTTACTGGGTGGCTTGCCGCTGCTCCTCGAGCAGAACCCATCAGCCGCAGTCTCCAATGCACCATCCCCTACCAAACTGCCATGCCACCATCCCCGCCAGCATGCCATGCCACTTGCCACATCACTCCACCCCCATACCTGGGTGGCTTGCCGCTGCTCCTGGAGCAGAACCTATCAGCCCCTGTCTTCAACGCACCATCGCCCTCTGTCGCTTCACCGACTGCAGAAACCACCCTCTCCTCCTTCTCCCCCCTCTCTTCCTCCCTTTCTTCCTCCCTTCCCCTCTCGTCTTTCTTCACACTCCCTCCTCCCCTCACTCTCACTTCCTCCACCACGTTCTCTTCCCTCCGCACTTCCTCTCGAGAAGAACAACCTCCCTTCCACATCTCCATCCGGCCTTTCTCCATCCGTCCCTCCCCCTTCCCGCCGTCCGGCCCATCCCCTGCACCCAGCTGCTTCGTCATAACCACCGGCTGAGGCACCTTAAAGACTGCTTCGCTATCCGCGTTAGTTGCGTGAGCCTGGATACACGGCTTAGGTTGTGCGCTTGCAGATGCAAGCGCAGTGCTGCTGCAAGGGGCCATGGCGTTCAACGCTCCAAGGCTCATGCCCCCCCTTTCCTCCTGCTTAACCTCGTCCTCTCCTTTCTTCTCCTCCCCATTTTTGACAGACCTTCCTTCCACGAATCCCCCTTTAGTAGCAGTCTCTTTAGTGTCACTCTCCTTAGTGGCGCCCTTCTCTCCATCTTGAACAAGAGAGGCGCTTACAGCTTCAGGCGCAGAGGAGACATTATCAGCATCTGTTGCAGAGGCGACTGTCACAGCACCCGCAGCACCAGCAGCACCGGCAACGCCAGAGCCAGCAGCAATAGCACTGGCAGCGGAAGCAGCAGAGGCAGAAGCACCAACATCAGCAGGAAAAGGAGCAGCAGATGTAGGAGAACCACCAGCACCGCCACCAGCACCATTAACAGCAGCAGCAGCAGCCGCTGAAGCTGGAGCCTTCACCGAAACCTTGTCTGACGGAAGCTCAGGTGACAGCCCTGCAGAATATCCCGACACAACAACAACAGTACAATCCAGATTTTGATTAAAGCTGAAATTTTTTTTAAGAGCTTGCAGTTTTTCTCCTCCCTTACCCTCATTTGCAAGGAACACAGTTGGCATAAAACATTCCTAGATTCTGGGTCGCACCATTCTCAAGCGATTTGCCCTCCTTTCGCACACGTGTCACGCCCTCCGCCACCGTCTTCTCCACTGGAACATCTCCCCTCATAGGCACGTCCTTCGTTACAGGAACCTTCGCAACAGGAACCACTCCCTTGTCCACGCGTGGCGCATCCTCCTTCGTACCCCTCTCCGCAGCCGCGCCTTCTTTCAAGCTCGCGTTCTTCGCTACAGGAGCCTCGCCCGCACGTGCCGTCTCCTCTAACCTATCCTTCATAATCACGTCCTTCGTTACAGGAACCTTGGGCGGCACAGGAGTCGACCTCTGCGCGGAAGCCTTCCTCCCCCCCGCCCCCCCAGCCCTTCCCCCTGCGCCAGTCCGCGCGCGCCTCTGGTTCTTCCCCACGACCGGGGGCGGGGGAATCCCCGCCTTCCCCCTCCGCGCGTCCTGCGCATCCTCCGCCTCCTCTTCGTCATCGGAATCCTCCGCTCGCGGCGGCGGCGCCGGCGGGGATGGCTGTTTGCGCTTGAGCTTCCTCGTTTTGTTTCCCTCGGGCGGGTGTTGCGGGCACGACAGCACGTACGCATCCTGCACACGAACGGTGTGCGAAAGGGTGTGCGAAAGGGTGCGCGAAAGAGGGTGTGTGAATAACGGGTGTTAACACACAACGAATCGAGCTGTCTGCTTGCGATTGAGCTTCCTCGTTTTGTTTCCCTTGGGCGGGTGTTGCGGGCAAGGCAGCACGTATGCATCCTGTCAGGTGTGTATAACGAGTATGAGAAGAAACACCAGGTGATACGTGAATAAACGAAGCTCGTAGACACGAGTGCGTGCCGACATCGCGGAGGACGTACGAAAAAAGGCATACATATACCAGCTTGAGGAGTCCATTTTTTAGGCGCCTCGAAAATAGTACGTGCCGACAATGCGGAGGAAGTGCTAAAAAGGGATACATATACAAGCTTACGTCGTCAAAGTGGCAGCCGGGAGTCTGTCGAGCGCACGGCACGTGGTACGTGTGGCGACACGCGGGCACGCGGCAGCCCAGCGCTGCGCCACGGCCGCCGCACACGGTGCAGAAGAGCCCGCTCGATCGGCGCAGCTCCTTCTGCACGTTCATGAAACGGCCCTTGTTGAAATGCACCTCGGGGGACCTGGGGGGGAAGAGACGAAGGGAACTTAGTGAGCTGGCGGGAGGCATGAAACCGTGAGACCGCACACGGTGCAGAAGAGCCCGCTGGACCGGCGCAGCTCCTTCTGCACGTTCATGAAACGACCCTTGGTGAAGTGCACCTCGGGGGACCTGCGGGGGAGTTGCAGGAACGAAGGGAGCGGAACGATTTGCTAAGCGCGCCGATGAGAATGGGCAGCGTTTTGGCGGAACTCCTTCTGCCCGTTCATGGACCGGCCCTGAAATGCACCTCGGGGGACCTGCGGGGAGTCGCGGAATGATGGGAGCGGAAACGACGAGAGTAGCAAGATTCATGGGGATGCCAGCGCAGCTCCTTCTGCACATTCGCAAATAATTTGTTGGTGATTTATGATACCGTGAAGAATCAGATCTGATCCTTTTATCCCCAGTGTAGAGTATCACTCCTTACCAAAGCAGGCAGTCCTCGTGGACGCAGATTTCGGTGGGAGTCAGCTCGCCCGCAACCTCGAAAGCCACGCCCTTCTCGTCAACGACCACCAAAGCACCGGTCGACTGAATCCAGCAAGGAGAATAGAGAAATATGAGATGAGACGAACTCCTGTAAACAATGGCAAGCAGTACTGCGATAGGAACATTCAGAATAGCCAGATTAAGAAGTTCGCAAATGCTGTACGGTGATTCTCGCAGCAAGTTCATCGCGATCCCAACACGGCTTGTGATCCTCACCTCATTCGATTCAGTCTGATCGCAGAAGCTGCACCGAAGCTTCTTCTTCTTCTCCTTTTTAGCAGCTCCCTTATCCACGTCAGCCTCCTTGCTGTCTTCCGCGTTAGCAAAGGCCTTCAATTTCCCACCATCGGCCTTCGTAGACTCTTCGAGCCTTCTAGAACCGTCGGCCGCGCCATTACGAGTCTTCGTTGCCGCACTGGCATTGGTTCCGTTACTAACAGGACCGGTTGAGCCGTGCCCGATACTGTTTAGAGACTTAACTCGTCCCTTCACTTTCAGAATGTCCATCCCCGATTCCATGTCGACATATAGATTTGGAGTCGATGCCAGGGTGCCATTCGCCGCATATGACGGCGGAAGAAGCTGGATGCGCTTGTTGGGATGCGCCAGCGACGGCGGCCTGTGATCCATTCTTAGTACGTGGGCAGCAGGTTGCTAGGTCAGAATATGACTGAGAAGGGTAAATTGGCAGCAGACGTGCGTCGCGATGCCGTGATGCGTGGATGATTTCAAGTGCGACTGAGGTGAAAACGAGAGACAACTTCTGGCTCGAGAAACAAGCGTGGAACTCCGGTTTCGGCAGATAAAGCAGGCAAATGAAGCATGGAAAGAGGGTGAGCTAAGCTCTCATGATCTCAAGGCAGGCAGAACATCAGGTGTTGGTCCAAGGTGTTGGTTCGCCTAGCGTCGTAGTTCGCGAATGTCGCTCATCGCTAGAAAGCAAGCGAGCTTGTCGCAATGGTAAATTTCAGGTTGACGAAGCACCGAAGCACCTGCCCGATTCGCGAGGCTATATGGATACCCTAAACCCGGACAGCGTGTTGCTGAAGCTTTGCGAAGCGCCTCGGGGATACCAGATAGGACTACGATTTTGAATTTGACATTCAAAATTTGAACGTACTCGCTAACGTTGATTCCGACATTCTTCAAATATTTGACGGTACTCGCTTACGCACAGACTCCTGGTAATACAGCAATATAACTTACAGCATAGAAAGCCATCCAACTTTACGTTTCCTGAAAACTGTCCTATAAAGGAGCATACGATATAGCAAGCCAATTACGTAAAACAGGAGCATATTCTTCCTTAAATCGAAAAGGTCAAAATAGTGAAGGTGGGTCCAACTTGAAAAGGCCCAGACCAGGGTTGACGTTTCAAAAAAAGGCACTCTGATTTTGCCCCCCAAAAATTTCCCGAGTCTGAAGGGTCATTTTTCAAAATTTTCGCTACTCTGAAATCTGTGTCCAAGATTTAACGAGTCTGAAATACTCAGGGTTCAGAATGTCGACTCAGAGTCCTGCTCCCAAGTCGAATCTTGTATTTGCAGAGTCCACACCAGGGTCTCAGATTCGTTTTATGGAGGCTGATTGCTCAGGCCTGCCCTTATGAGAACCCATTTTTGTTAGGGTAGTTTTTATTTGATTGCCTGAAATTTCAGGCTGAATTTTCCGTAAAGCTGACGAATCAGACCTGGGTTTTGAAACGTGCTGTATCAGTGACGATGGCTGCAGTTCGCTGCGTAATCGAAGGAAAAGTTGTGTTCTCATGAACTGCCGAAACCCCACCAACTTGCTGTATCCACGCAGTTTGTGCTAACGACAAATCACGTCCCTCGCGCACGCCTGCTCTAGCCTTCCTCGGGCAACCAGCGTGATACAGTACTTGGTCTAAGGACCAGTCACGCTCCTCATAATTGCTCCTAGGTACAGTACCTCGGACTTTTGCATGATTTGGTCTGACAGCCAATCACAGCCTCACACCTGCTCCGATAACAGGCGAAGCACGTCGAAGGACAATGCGTGTACAGTACAGCAGCAGGGAGTTTGTCTGTGATGGGTTATTGCAAGTGTGTGATTGGTTGTTGAGGGACTTGTGCCACCCGCTCAGAGGACGACAAAAAAAATCAGGGGAAAGGGGGTGCGGGGAGAATGTCTCTAAAAATGGAAGACTTAGCCGATTTTTGTGGGTGTTGGGGGTGTTAGAGGGGTGTCTCTAGAACAGGACTTAACGATTTTTATGGGCTGCTGGTTGTGCTGGGGGGAAGTGTCTCTGGCTGCTAGGACTTAGCCAGATTTTATAGGTTGCGGGGCGGGGTGTGTGAAAGGACTTGACTCTGGCCGTTGGGGATTTGGACGAAAATTTTGGGTGGGGGCAGGTAGGTATGTCTGTCTCAGGGTCCGTACGCACTGTGCTCTGAAAACTCAGTATCCACAAACTGCCAAGTCTGAGATTCTCAGGATTCAAAAACATATAACTCTGAAGGGTTCAGCATTCAGAAATTGGCAAGTCTGAAAAATCAGGATCGGCAAAAAAATATGTCTGAAATTTCAGACAATCAGACTAAAATACAGTGGCAGGAAAAAATTGTCCACATGTTTAGCATATTTTTACATTTTGACGAGCTGTACGCTATAAACATTAAGCCTTAATTCATGGTGGCCATACACGTAGAGAGGAGCAGTTAGAGCACTCACTCAAATCTCCTAAAACCAGAGTAGTATATTTCATGGTCCTTCAACACGACAGCATTTAATAACAGCACATCTGGACAATTTGTACCGGGGACAGGCAGCAAACTAGTTACTAGCAAAACTAGTACCTAGTCAGCCGACACTTGGCCATGATCATCACCTACACCCAGGCCTGGCCCAGACGTCCGTTTTTGCGACGAAGGGACAAAACTGCGACGGGGCAGAGGGTATACTTTTGAGGAATGCAAGCAAGGGAAACTGGGCAAGAAGATGCAGTTACCTGATTGGTTGGCGGGAAAAACATGACGTACGGTGGGGAAAATGGCTTGGGCAATTTCGCAAGCAGCGCGCCACCTGTCGCCCAGCCCCCACTGCACAACGTACCCCCAAAACACGGTTTTGCCTTCCCACCACCCCAAATAATCTCCGCAGTCCTCCACCATGCACAACGCACACGCGCATCCCTTACTCTCGTCGTTCCCCACTGGCCCGGCGCTAGCTGGTTGCTGCTCCTCCAACCCTCACCTCCCGCTTGGGCTTGCCACATCAAAGCTCACATCCGATTCACACACGGTAGTCAATGCCTAATGCCAGGCTCTCATACTAGCACCTTTTCCGGCTCCGGTCTGCCTGATAGCCTCATGCTCGGCAAGTCATATTCCCCTAATGCATCTCCCCTTGCTTCTATCAACCAGGCCTCATTCCAACCTTGCAACGTGAACTGCTCTCCGTCATGGCACAAACACGTGCAGACTCTACAATCCGAACTGGCTAACCCTTTTGGCAGCTGTTTCGTTCCTTCTACACCAAAGCTAACTTGTCGTTCCTGGCATCGTTGAACATGACGCTCGCCTTGTACCTCATCTATGCCATTCGAGATAAGGCCACTCTTTCGGTGTTCCAACTTACCGGCTCGGCCGTCAGCTTTGCACACCGCATGATTGGGGCACCTTGCCCTAGTACCGGTCCCTTCACGACACAAGTTCGAGAGTTTGCAAAGCGGCGATGCCTCCGACCCAACCGAACCAAGGAACCGGTCTCTCTGCACCAAGTGCACATGATGGCTTCTCACTTCATGAGCGCTGGCGACCCAGCTACCTTTGAGAAAGGTCTCATTCCACTTCTCATGTACGCAGGATTCTTGCGCTACTCCGACCTCGTGGCCATCAACTGGGAGGACATTCAGTTCGCGGATGACGTGATGTGGCTGCTCATTCCGCGCTCCAAAATGGACCAGGCAGGCCAAGGATCTTGGATTCGAGTTGCCGCTGTTCCAGGACCCTTTTGCCCTGTGCGGTGCACCAAGCGCTTCATCTGTTTGGCGGGCTACGAACCCAGCATTGCGGGACCCTAAATCCGAGTGTTCATGACTGCATCAAGTGACGGCGTCACTAGCAATCCACCATCATACACCGCAATATGCAACTGGTGCAAGGAGGCATTTCACACCATTGGCCTCGGCAAATACCATCTCGGCACCCACTCATTCCCCTAAGGTGCCGCGGCTGTCGCCGCCCATGGAGGCGTAGCGGACCAGCTTTTCAAACGTCTTGGCAGATGGCGCAGTGACAAGGCAAAAGAGATGTACATCACTCCCGCTGCCGACCAACAAGTGTCGGCCTCCCGCGAGGTACACACCCTTGCGTCGACGTTATCACATGCACAACATTCTCGAGCGCTCGTGCGCCACTGGCGAACGTCCCTACCCATGTCTCAGCTCAGCCCATTGAAATGAGAACAAAGACAATTGCACTAACAAGAAGCAAGGTTTCTCAATATGTAAATTTTTGAAGTGTTACACTTTTTAAATTGTGTTTTGTGAACGCGAAGCTACTTGTAAATGCAATTTTTAGCATCGTCGAAGCACGATATTCGCCCTTCTCTGGCTAAATAATGTGGTTGGAGGTCATTCTTCCTCCACCTACGTCTTTTCATTCTTCACAGCTCAAGTCCGATTCCCGCCCACCCAACTCGTTCCATCTGGCTTCGTCGACTCGTCCCCAGCAACCTGCAGTGTGCGAAGGTAGAATGAATTGAGTAGAATGAGGTGAAGAAGGTGGTTTTGTCTGAAGGGTTGTACCCTCCAAGATTCCGCACATATCTAGCCTATAAGACATATACATAATATGTTTGACACACCCCCTAGGCTAGATGAGGCGCACTGCCTGCGAAGAGACACACAGATCAGGGTGGAACTACTAGTCCAACCTCTGAGGTAGGGGTCTGAAGACCAGTCAACAAGAGTACAAACTAAACAAGAGCAACCCAGGGCGGTACTACTAGTCCAGCCACTAAGACAAGAGCCAGAAGGTCAGTCAAGATAATATAAAAGTAGTACAAAGTCAAGGTCCTAGCAAATGAGAAGCTACAAGAACTAGACCAAGCTGTACACAGTGTCGCTGATGAACTTTGGGCGTAAGCACCTTCGTAAAGATCTCAGCTGTGTTGGCACTTGAGGCCAAGTGTACTACGCGAGCCTGGCGACGCTTCTGCAGCTCCCGCAGGAGTAAGTACCGCAACTGAATGTGCTTCGCTCTGCCCTCTAGTTGAGGCTCCTAACAGAGGAGGATCATGGCCCTGTTGTCAGCGTACAGGACTGGGACGGAGCTAGGCCGCTCACCTAAGTCTATGAGCAAGAAAGTTAGCCAGTGGAGCTCCTGTGCCGCCATGGCACCGGCGTATATCTCAGCCTCACAGCTAGACTGGGCAACAGACGACGAGCGGGTGGACTTCCACGAGATGGCGCCTGCACGAAGGCTAAAGCAGTAGCACTGGAAGGACCTGCGCGTCTCAGCGTCGTCTGCCCACAAAGCGTCTGTGTGCCTTGTAAGGACCACAGGCCTGTGTCCTCCTAGCACTAGCCCCATGCCCAATGTACTTGCTAGATAACGCAAAGCCCTCTTAGCGGCCGACCAGTGCTGTGGTCGTTGTCTGCATGTGGGTACAAAGCGATTCAGGATGCTGAGAGGGTGTGCGAGATCTGGACGAGTGCAAGTCATCAGGTACATGAGGCAACCCACCAGCTCTGAGTAAGGACCACTAGGCTCTAGTGACTCCTCATGGACTGGAGCCAAGAGCCTGTGATCTACTGGCAAAGGTGTGGGC